AAAATATTTTTATTGATTTCAGAGAGGAAGAGAGAGATACAAACATCAATGATGAGAGAGAATCATTGACCTGCTTCCTGCACACCCCACAATGGGGATTGAGTCCACAACCCGGGCATGGCATGTGCCCTGACCAGGAGTTGAACTATGACTTCTTGGTTTATAGGTTGATCAATGCTTAACCTCTGAGCCACGTCGGCTGGGCAGATTTTGTAGAATTTAAAACAGCAATTCTTCAAGTTCAGACAGTCTTTTGAACCTAAAATAGGTGAAACCAAACTCTCACTGCAGTGTGGGAGCAGACTGAAAGATCTTGAAATGAGACTCAAGGAATACCGAAAGTGTTCACGCCATCACATCTGAAAATTACCCACAGTGGTGAGCAAATGAATCTACAATTATGTCTGAATCAAATCTACAATAAAATCAAGTTGAAACAACGCCTGATGACAGAGCTATGAGTCTGTGCAACTGTCAGCAGACACGCTTGGTCGGAGGCAAGGTGCCAGCAAGATGACATATGCCAAATTAATGAGTGCGAGGCATGCGCTTACTCGGTTTCCTAGGACACAGATGATCTACAGCGGTGGCTGAAGTCTGGCACTTTCCGGGGTGCTGTGCGGAGCTCTCCCAGGCGCTTCGCTGGGCTTTGGGATCTAAATGGTTCTTCAGAAACAAAGGGGCTGCCTGCCACCCCACCCAAAAATGCTGCACACCCTTATCTCACTCCTCCCCGCTCAGCAGGGTCTGAATAAAAACCAAGTGTTCTTTTCACTCAGTTTGAAACATATGCAAACAGGAAAATGTTTCTAGTTCAAATTCTTTTATTTCTAATTCAAACTCTTCTCTCTTGGGAGATCAGATCAGTTAAAAAAACAAACAAAACAAAACACAAAACAAAACAAAAAAAACAATCTGGCTGTCAACAAATGTGGTACTTCCTGTTTCCTTCTGGGTGAAATAGGCACAATTAAAGTGGGCTCCCCGTGTGCACCCCCACTATCTCCTTGTGTGGACAAAGTGCCCGTCTGGGGACAGTCCCTTCCCCCGCATTGCGGGAATCAGAGCCTCCACGTCCAGCCACCATTCCTTCAACTTCAAGGAATTTCTGGAAATACCACTTCCTACTGAGATTGAGCTCTCCTTGCCTGCTCCACGCATAGAGAAATGAAACCGTAGTGTGTCTCATCGGCCAATGGCACAGGCCCATACCTCCACACTGCTTGAGTGAGGTGAGGACTGCAGGGCTGGGATAGCACGGTGGAGACCGCATGCCCCTGTGAGAGAAAGAGACAGCCAGGCCAGGTTTCCACACCCAACCAGCAACAGCAGACTCAGCAAGCTCCTCACTCCTCACTGAGCTCACTTCCCGCCACTGCCATGCAGCCAAACTGGTCAGGCCCCAGTGAGAGCGAGGAAAAAGCTCTCCTTCCTACCCGACCTGACACATGGCTTTGATATTGCCGCTGCATGTGAACACATGCACACCACACCACACCCACATCATCACACACACCACACCCACACACGTATACCACATAAACCACACACCACCCACACATCGCACCCACCACTCATCAGCATGGGAGATGGGCCTGCAGGGCTGATGCTGACCTCTGGTTGTGGTCAGTCCACTCTGCCCAGCCACCTGGCTCGTGTGCCTCCTGACCTCCTTCCTCACTCACCTGGCATTCCATTTTCTCACACTGCAGTAGTGTCATCCTAAGAAACAACACAGGAACAAAGCACCTGGGGGTAACAGGGACACATATCCTGGAAACCTGTGCAGATCACAGGTGAGCAGGAGACAGGGCCTGAGAGGCTCTCTGGGATCACCAGCCTCAGAGGCCCCAGGGAATGAAGGGTCCAGAGGCCTTATCACCAGGCCACTGTGAGGTGGGTGGCTGTCTCCCAGGGCTCCTGGACACCAGTACCACCTGTGGGCAGACCCAAGCTGGTACCAACACAGCTCTGCTACACTGACCTCCACCTAGAAGCCATGCCAAAGCGAGGTTAGCGTCCAGACACCCATAGCTGACCCAATAGCCACTTATGGCTGCTAGGCACCGCTGTCCATGGTGCTGCCCAGACCAGGGTCCCATCAGATGCCAGACCAAGGCACTACCAGAGACACAGGGTAGACAATTGGGCTGCTGGACTGTGTCTCTGACCCCTGAGAATCTAACTAACAGCACACGGAGGCCACAGATTGCGGGTGACCTCAGAGCCATGATCTCGGTAACTGACAACCAGGGCTTGGCACCCCTCAGGGAGGGCGGTCAGTCTAAGGCACCTACACTTCCAAAAGGACTGAAGAAGCCCTGTTCCTGGACGGCAATGTCTCAGTGGATTCACCTCGCAAGCTGTTGGTCAGCGTGGCCTTCACAGTTCTTGAAAGCGCTTCCTGGTAACTAAAGATTAATGCTGTCTCTGCCTCGTGCAAAGAACATGCTTTTCCCGACACACACATGCACAGTTCATGGATGGTGTGGGGTGGCTGCACGGCCATTACTATAGGGGCAAATGACCTCAACACTTTTTGTCTGAAGGCTGTCAGGCCCCCAAACAGTTCCTGTGTGACACTGAAGGCCAGGCATGAGGGGTGGAGAAAGCACTACCCCAGGGCACCTTGTCTGCAGGTGGTGGGGGCCTCCAGGCTGACTCAGAGACAGAGTGACCTCAGCCACTCACGCCTTTGAGAAATGACCCCACCTCAGGGTCTTTGCTTCATGAAAATAACTTTAGAAGCTACAGAATCAGGACACAGCCACAGCCACCTGAGCTGATCGCCCTCTTGGCGGCATCATGGGTTCCCTGTACAAACATTAGGAAATAAAGGTAAGAACAGAGAAGATGCAGTCAGGCGTCCAGCCCAGGGCCACCAGGCCTTCTGTGCATAGGCATGCACACAGGGACTAAAACGTGACCGGTGTTTTGTGGGGCCCACGTCACAGCCTACTTTTGTCCCCTTACTGCAGCACGCTGTCGTCCCTTCCAATGCAGACGCACCACAGATTTTATGGACTACACAACATCCATCTGGTGTGACTGATCAACACGCCGAAATCCAGGTGGTCCAAGACTTTCTTTTATAACCCTCTGTGAACTTGTGTGTCATTCTGCTGTGCAGTCTGAGATCCTGATGAACATCCCCTCACTGCAAGGGTCTACATTGCAGGTGAGGGCGGTTGGTGTGGGCAGGAGAGCCAGGGAACAGCCACAGGAGGGAGCAGAGGTAGGCACAGGACCGGCCAGGCAAAGGTGCTCACACACAGCTCACCTGAGCACTCGCATGTGCACACATCTAGGTACAGGGCTTCCCTTTGGGTAATGGAAACACTGTGAAGGTGCAAAGGCCACTGAATTGTGCACTGACAATGGGTAACGGTTAAATTTCTCAGGTTTATTTTACCAAAGTAAAAAGATTTAACAAAACTTGAAGCCCATGGGTCAGAGGTTCCTCCAGTCCTGATGATTCCTTCATCATCATTCCTTATGGGCCTGCAGCTTTCTGAGCAAAAAGGCCTTGCCCTGGGCTGGGCCTAAATTTATATTGACGAAGTATCTTAAGATATTTTTATCTTAAAAACAATTTTTTTTCTGCTCTGGCCAGATGCCCTGGTTGGAGCATCATTCCATACACCAAAAGATTGTGGGTTCAATTTCTGGTCAGGGCACATACCTAGGTTTGACCCCCGGTCAGGAGCATATAGGCAAGATGTCAATGTTTCTTTCTTTCTCAAAAAAACCCCAAACACATATCCTTGGGCAATGATAAAAATAATTCCTTTTCTGCTCTTGTAAGTCATAACTGCTTTTTAAAAAAAAATATTTTGATTGATTTCAGAGAGGAAGAACGAAAGAAACATCAATGATGAGAATCATTGATCGGCTGCCTCCTGCATACCCCACACTGGGGACCGAGCCCACCCTCCTGGTGCATAGGTTGATGCTCAAGCACTGAGCCACACTGGCCAGGCACAGCTGCTTGACGGTTCAGTTGAGACAGGTTTTGCTTCCCTTTCTCCAGCAGGGCCCTGTCCAGCAATTCTCATGGGCCCAGACTTACCACACTGCCCACTACCTCCAAGTCACACACGTTCTCCCACAAGGACTACCAACCTGGAAGGTAACTGATTCTCCAATTTTATGTTTTCACAAAAAGGGATCAGAGCAGAAAGTTGTGCAGGGATCCCCAGACGTCACTGTGAGGGCTGAGAACCAGGCTAGATGCTGAGGAGATGGCAGGGAGAATGGACACTGTCAAACTCTCATGACAAAGGATTTTTACTGAAAAGTCACACAAAAGTAGTGCTGTAAATAATTCTATACAATTACACTCTTGGTATATCTTAAGATCTTTATACTTTGCCAATATAAGCAGGCATCCAGCAAACATATCCAGAATAAATATTTTATGGACAGAACACTTCATGTTCTGTAACTAGTAGATAGTTGATCTCCAAGTCTTCCAGCAGAATGTACTCCTTTCTCAGGCACATGAATTAGGCACAGGGAAGCTGCATGCAACTCCTGCCTGTCCAGGGCCAGGAGGGTGCTTGGCCGGCTCCCCACATGCTTCTGAATGGCCCACACCATGATTTGCCTCAGAAATGTGGAGATGTGGGGGACAGTGGGAAAGAATACACAGGATCCCCAACAGACTCTGCTTCCCAAAGGTCACTTGTGGGGGACAATGAGGGTGCCCACACCTGCAGCAGAGAAGGGCTTCACTGACACCATGAAGCTTAGAGAAAGGCCACACCAGCTTTACACACCCTTTATTTAGGATTCCCACTATTCAGGCTCACGGACTATCTACAGAAACATGGTCCACATGTGGCCGACATGATCAGAGACAATTCACCCCCTCCCTGCGCTGCTTCCTGCAGGCCCAAGGGAACATGATAGACTTTGTCTCACAACGAAAACTCTGTACACGCAAATAAAAACAAAATAAAATAAAAACAAAACAAAAAAATTAATGACTATCTACAAGGCTAGCTCTTTGTAGAGGCTGGAGGTTCTGGAGACTGAAGAAATTCGTACGGGTCATGTGTCACCTCTGGCTGCTCACCGACACTGAGGCGAGAAGGGCTTCCTACAAGCATGGAAAGACAAGACATTTCAGTAGATGTGAATGGTCCAGGCTCAAATTTCATGTCTGCCATTAGCAAAGCCCAGAGGAATGGCTTCTGGAGTGTAGGCCACCCCGTCATCCTGCCCAGGGTACCACCCCCCATCACTCCTGGGGAGAAGGCAGAAAGCCACTTGTCACAGACATGGCTGTAAACACCCTGAAGCTAGAGACTGGCCCTGGCTGGTTCTGCAAGAACAAAGGCTCCTTGGCCAGGAGTCCCTCAGACAAAACCTAGGCCTGTTCACCCCAACCCCCACCAGGATGATGGAGTTCTTAGACCTGATGACAACGTAGGACTCTACCTGGAACCTACTTCATGGCCGTTTCTTACAAGGTTAATGGGACCAGAAATACCTTTTTTGGACAGTTTTTGCCAAAACTCGGAAGCTGATTACTTTCCCCCACCAATTATTCTCAGAAAGAATAATTCAATATCCCTATCTGGAAACTAAACTAGTAGCACAGACATTCAAGGAGCCACGAGGCAAATATTTGTTTGGTTCCCCTCCTGGCAAGGCTATGATATTCATTAAATATAGGAGTCCTGCCCTGACCAATGCCTCAATGGTTAGAGCGTCAGCCCACACACCAAAGGTTTGGGGTTTGATTCCCAGTCAAGGGCCCATACCTGGGTTGCAGGTCCTATCCCTAGCCAATCAGTGTATGTCTCTCACATCAACGTCTCTCTCTTCTCTCCCCCACCCCCCATCTCTTTAAAAATCAATGGAAAAATAGCCTCGGGTGAGAATTAACAACAACAAATAACAAAAAATACGGGACTCCCCCACCCTGCCCCCTGTCTAAGGAAGGTCCTGTGCTCTCCCCAAATAAGGAACCTGGAGGAATAAACTTGTCAACCCACTGTTTTACAACTAAATATAGGAACAACAGAAAGAAACAAACACTCCAATGTCTAACTCTGCATGGCTGCAGGGTCTGCAGCCTCAGCTTCCTTCTGCCCCTGACCCAGGGCCTCAGTATGTGGCCACCTAGGACTTCTCCTGACACATGGTCTGCCAGTATCTTTTGGCCAAGGCCACAAATTCCTAACACAGACTGAATTCCACTCAAACATTTCACCTCAGTGCCCACATGCCCTCTCTCCAAGCTCCAGGGAGCTGGAGTTCCGTGGACTCACTGCCCACACAAGCTGCAACCTCCTAGGATCGCTAGCCTTTCCTGACAGTCACCAGCACTCCTGCTCTCCCCCCAGACTGATGGTAAATCTGGGGCAGAGGGCAGGCCAGGGGCCACCTTACCCAGATGATGCTGATCCCTGTCGGAGGTATTAGACAGGGAGCTGAGGTTGGATGACGGCCGGGAGCCCCCACGCTCTGCTTGCGCCTCATGCAGATCCTGTAGGAGCTTTGTCGTCTCGTCCAAGTTCAGATGGCTGTCTTCATGGTCCAGCTCTTTCTTCACTTTCCCTGTGCAAACACAGGTGACAACCTGCCCTAACTGGTTTGGCTCAGTGGATAGAGCGTCGGCCTGCAGACTGGAAGGTCCCAGGTTCGATTCCGGTCAAGGGTATGTACCTTGATAGTGGGTACATCCTCAGTAGGAGGTATGAGGAGGCAGCTGATCGATGATTCTCTCTCATCGATATTTCTCTCTATCCCTCTCCCTTCCTCTTTGTAAAAATCAATAAAATATATATTAAAAAAACACATACAGGTGACAAGACATTGACACAGGTCCACCGAGTCCTGGCACTTCTGGTCTGCAATTGCAGTCTCCTACTTGTCACCCGTACATTCAGGACAATGACCCCTCATAAGTGAAGCCAGATGAGCCCAGGCAAGCTTTGGAAGACAGGGAGATACAGTTGGAGCAAGTGGAAGGGGTAGAGAATGATGGGAGGGGCAACGTGCCTCACAAGAAACCAGGCACCACACCAGAGGCATTATGGACAGAGGCCTTGCATTCCTGTCACAAACAGCTAGAGGACAGGATGACGTATGGGACAGAGGCCTGCAGAGACTAGGACTGGGCACAGGCTACAAGCCAGGGCAGCGACCTGCAGGGCCAGAGGTCCATGGGCTACCAGTTGGAGAAGACAGGCTGCCTGGAACTCACAAGTCTTGGCCAAGCACTACTCTGCGCCCTGCCAGGGAGTTCAACAGCTCACACATGTGTGTGACTATCTATGTCCCAAGCATGAGGAAGGATGCAGCCTATGTGTGGACCACAGTCACCCTGCACTGAGGCTCTGTGCCCACCCTAAGAATTCCTCAAAGCAAAACCCAGATAGGGTCCGGTAGCTCCAAGTTTCCCAACAGCCTGTTGGAGCAAGGCCCACCACAATGTAAAGGTATGTGACCAATAAACCTCCAGGCAGGTAACAAAGGGATAAAACACGGCCCGACCAGAGAGAACATTGTGAAGAGACGCAGAAATGAGCTACAGGGTGTTAAAATGACAACTGGGTACACGCTCATGTGTAAAAGGCAGAGAAACCAGGACCATGGGGTGAGAAAGGGATGACAACACTGAAAAACAGAATGGAGCTGGCTGGGAAGGGAAACCCCAGGAAAGACAACACAACAGAAGGGATGACCAATGCCCTTGAGGATGCAGCATGAGACAGCCCAAAACATAGACTCAACAACAATTGGGCAGAATCAGAGTATAGCCAAACTTCCCATATTTGAAAAACCTCTAAACCTTCAGGATCAAGCAGCTGAACATAAGTTAGGAAGAATAAACTTAAAGAAAAACAACACATATTATGACCAAACTACTGACAACCAGAAATAAGGAGAAAATCTTATGATGCAGCAAGAGGAAAAAAGGATGGCTGGATAAGGAAAGCGCTATTACAGCAGCCCTAGACTGCTACCTTACTGAGTAAGACTGTCAGGAGGGCTCCTGCCACCCAAATGACAGGAAGAGCTCCCTGAGTCTAAGCCTTTGGGCAAAGGCTGTTTGGTGCTGAACACCTGCTTTCCTTTAGGAAGCCCAGGGGCTGTGCCACGCACAGGTGCTGTGCTGTCGCAATCACGGTTGGGGTTGGGTAAATCCCGTAAGACACATGGGGATGGGGCTCTGGAAACTGTGCCTGGTCTCCAGATGCACTCCTTCTTCCTTTGGGGAGCCTGGTCTGTGTCCTCTTGTTATAATAAACCACAACTGTGAGGACAACTATATACTAAGTCCTAGGGAATCACCAAACCTGGGGACCTCCAAATATTGGGAAAATGAAGAAGAAAAAAAGCAAGATGGCAGGCATGAATCCAATTGCTTTAAACAAATGGTGTAAACACACTCCAACCAGAAGCAGAGACTGTCAGAAAGGATGACAAAGCAAGACTTACTTTACGTTCTTAAAAAGGTTTGATGAAACCCACTTTTAACATAAGGCACTACAGACACTAGGCTGGGTCACTCTGTGGGGGACTATTCTGTGGGCTTCAGACAGTTTAGCAGCATCTGTAGCCTTTACAGGCGATGCCAGAAGCACCACACCCCAATTGTGACAAGTGAAGATGCCTCTAGATGTTGCCACATGTCCCTGGGGGCGAGTCGCTCTCAGGTGAAAACATAGGTGTGTCCGAAGTAGAGAAGATGTATCACGAATACCACTGGTCAAGAGGGAGCTGGGATGGCAGAGTAGATTTCAAAAGATTGGATGTTATATGAGATACAGAGGGCATTTCATGGTGGTGGTGGGGGCGGGGGGGGAGGAGTACATGGGGTCAGCAGTCCACAAGGGAACATCCTGGTGGGCACACAAGCACACTAATGCACTAACAGCAAGTGCCTGCACCAACAGAATGAAAGACCCAGCGATCGGAAGACAGAGCCTGAAGTGAGGAAGGAGATCCAGGCGAACCCCATCTGGAGCCATCTGAAGGTGGTCCTGAGGACAGCGGGGCACTCATCTATGGCTACCTCACCAGGCTATGCCACCCTCTCGGGATCAAGTACAGGCAGCATTATACCAGCCCTTGGCCCCTAGGGACTGCCCCCTCAAGAATACTAGCAAGTGGAAATGCAGTACTAGGGGCCACTTCCTTTCAGCTGAGCCTGATGATCCGACTGCAGTGTTACAAGGGAGGCATGTGCCCAGCAAAACTTACCCAGAGAGCTGAGCATGGAGATGTCCAAAGAGACGTCAGAATATGACTTCATTGACATGAAATCCAGCACGGAGCCACCATCTCCTAGGGAATCCCCAGCCTGCAGACACAGGAAACAAAGGAAAGGTGCTACTAAGTAGGCAGTGAACATCCAATGGCAGGACAGGCCTGCTCTGTCATGCCCAGTCCCAAGGAGTGTCCAGCCCATGTCACAGTCCAGGGACCACAGAGTATGAGCTCATAAGTGAGCCACTACCTAGACCAACAATTCTAGACTGACACACAAGGGCTGATGGCTCTTGGGGGACGACAGGTGCTGAGGGAACATGGAAGAATCTCTGTATCAGGCCAGTAGGTACACAGCACCTGGAAAATCTACAACTGTCTTTCAGGGGCTTCACTTAACAAGTAATGTAGCAGATTCCAGAACGTTCTCTTTCCTTCTCCCGGTGAGCTCCTGGGATGCCCCAACGCCCTGCTCAGTGTCCTGACTTGTCCGCTCCAACATGTGCTCCAAGTCATTCCCAAGAAAAGGAAAGGGGTGGGGGAGGGATCACAACGAACAGTTTCCTCAAACAGAGACAATCTATAGTAGGTGCTGGTGAGATCCCGATGGCCTAGACCTGCCAAGATGCTCTCATAAGTGTGCGGTGCACATGCACCCAGCCAACAGGCACACCTCCCAGGACTGGAAGAACCCACTGCAGAGACAGTGCTTGCTGACGGCCCTGCCTGCCGGACACCCATGAAATGTGGATTTGGAGGAATATACCGTGGCTTTATATCCCTCACCCCAAGCCATTAAAAATCAGGGAGTAGAAAGAGACTACCACTTAATCTTACTCATCAGAAACTTAATCAGTTTCTACACAAGACAATACAAGAAGCTCTTCTCAACCAGTTCAAAGGCAGAGCACAACTGCCCTCCTAGAACCCTTTTACTTACATGTCCATGGAACTCACCTTCACTTCATCTGATGGCTTCATGGCGACATTTCTCCTCTGCAAAGCAAAACAGGCAGGACATCAGCTTTTCCAAAACATTTTATATAGGATAATACTCTTGGGCTATGTTCATTATGTTCCCACTATTTTGTGAATCTGAGCTGGGCCTGGATGCTTCTGTACAGCTGGAGGTGTGTGATAGTGTAAAAGTCAGATGCCGTACCCTGGGTCTCCAGGCAGCTCAGGAAAATACCAAGCCTGGTGATTTAACCTGGAAGAGCTGCACAAGACCAGCTGAAATTCTGACAATTCTGATGGTGCCACTGCCCTTGGATGGGCAGAGCTATGGGGCCATGCACTCCTCTCCTCGGCCTATATGGTACCTGAAAGAGGGCTTATGCTTGACTATTACATGTAACTACAGTCTGAATGTAGCACTGAGCCACTGTTCTATAATCTGGCAGGAGCATTACCGTAAAAATACCCTAGTCCTACAAATATACCTAAAAAATAGCCATTCAGTTTGTACACATTTGAATCTGGGACCTCTTGTTCAAAATACTGTTTCTGAGATTCATTTATGTTATGATTTTCATAAGCTTCTAAGCAGAAAAATAAGTATCAAAAAGGTCAGGTCACTCAGAAGTAATAACTCTCGCAAAATGAACATAAAATGAACATAAAATCCAGACCAGCCTTGTCCAACAGAAACATAATGTAAGAACTGCGACAGATGACCTAAAAACAGCATTCTTTCCTGAGAATCCAGTTGTTCGGATGGGCCCTTCTATAGGAGGGGCACCATGGCACAGCTCACCTGCCTCAGCTGGAAGAGCATCCGGGAGTGGTCTCCGCCTGTGATCTGGTCCAGAAGGTCGTCCACCATTCTCTTGCTGTAACTCCCAGCATCCTTCACAAACTCCTGGAGGCTGGAAAGGGCCAGGAGAGAACAGGCTGACACAAACGCTATGTGCTCTCATCTTCCAGACTCTGCTGCCACAAGGCCAGCAGTCCTGACATCAGTACACCTCAGCCACTTCTCCATGAGAGGGTCTTCCTGAGAGCTGCGAACCTCCCAGAGGTGGTAGATATGGGAAATGGAGCAAAAAACTTCATTAGATCCTCAGAGTGGGCCATGACCCCAAAAAGTTAGAAAGATCTCAATTTTTTAAAAGCAAGGTGAAGAACAGCGTGTATACATACACATGATGACGTTCTTTGTAAAAGCACATTCGTACCTATTTGTTTTGGGTTTTAAAATACAAGTAGATTGAGGAGACGCACAGTGTAAACAGCTCTTACTGAAGGAGGGAGGGAGCAGTTGTGGGAGCCAGGCTCCCTAAGGACACCTTGTAGTTTCACTTTGATTTATGGGCCATGTGAATGCTTTAAAAACTAAATAAAACTACCAAAAAATGTAAAAGGAAGCATCAAACAGAAATCCTATGGTCCTAGCATCAAAGCCAGGCAAAGGCTCAAAAGGACTGCCAAGACTTCAAAGGCCTCCAGAGAGCCAGGAGGGCTGTTGGAAAGAAGCGGCACCACCAGTCTCTACCAGGAGAAACATTTTATGAGAAACCACCACATGAACAGCTGAGAAGGGGACAGGGACTGGCCAGAACACTCACAGCGGGTCTGAAAGTGCCCCAGGACAGTGTCTAGGGAAGGTGGTGTGGAACGTCTAGTAGGAAGAGGCCCTGGTACCAAGGCCAGGCCCTGCCTGCCTCCCATGTGCTGTCACTGTAGGCAGGCAGAATCTGTATGCATTTCAGGAACGCACTTGGGGAAAGCAATCACGGCCCAACTACATGGTGCTACTGAAAAAAAGCTGACTGGTGCCCCTGAAGAGCTGTGAGATGCTGCCAGGTTAAGCAGGAGTGGGGAAGGTCACCAACTTATGATACCACTCTCCTATAAGAAATTTCTTCCTCATTTTTCTCACAAAAATATGGGCTAGTATTCATTATTGTACGAGGGGCTGACTTTATTTTCCATATATTTTGTTTCTTTATAGAATAAAACAGATATAGTATGAAAAGACTCAACTTCTTAGAGGCTTTAGTAAAACTAAGTTACTTTTTCCATAGAGAATTACTAAAATTCTACAAGAGTGACCAACTTCTATTTTTCCAAAGAAAACAAAACGTACACATTAAAAACAGTCCTACAGAAACAGAGTACTACACCTATAATGTTAATATTGCATCTTAGTCACTGTTAGGAGCTGGAAGTGAGTCTCCAAAATCCATAGGTTGAAGCCCTAACCCCCTGCACCTTAGAATGAGTGCTTTTGGAGACAGGGCCTTTAAAAAGGTGATTAAGTTAAAATTAAGTCTTCAGGGTGGCCCCTAACTCTGTATGATTGTTGTCATTATAGAAAAAGGAGATCCGGACACAGACACACACAGAAGGATGAGACAACACAGAGGCCCCAGAAGAAAGCGGTTCTGCTGACACCTGCAGCTCAGACTTGCAGCCTGCGGGACTAGGAGACAATGGATGTCAGTTGTTCACTACCCTGTCTGTGGGGCTTGTTATGCAGTCATCAAGAGCCACATTCAGTACAATTGTGAAACTCCTACTAAACATACACAGGTGGTTACACATACCACACAAATGCTTTTTTGAACTACAGCCTGTATCTCCACCTTCTTAAAATTGTGACTGAGTTCCCCTAATTTCATGACCAGCCTACAGCAGACCACGACAGTTTACTGAAAAGAACTTGGAAATTTCTGCTATTTGAACCTGCTACCAGTGGCTGTCTCCCCCATCCCCATTTGCCTACAGAAGGGCTCTGAACTGCTCAGGAGGAAAATAGCCCCTATCACAGTGCAAGCAAGAAGTCCGCCCGTGTGTCTGTGCACAGCTTACCTCAGCGCACACTGCACACCCGTCTCATCTCCATAGGCAGAATACAGAAGCTCCATTTCATCTGACTTCAAGTCTCCAAATACAGAATTATTATGCATTGACAGTGCAGTACTGGCACTTGAGAGAAATGTGACTAAGAGTGAAATAAAAAGGAAAGCATAAGAAACAGCAGATTTACATCAAATTACATCTGGCACAAGATGCACTCCAGCTTTCTCCTTGTGCTGCTCACTTGCATAATGCATCCCCCTGCAGCACCCTTTCTCCTCTATGAAATCCATCTGGAGAATTCCACAAAGTGCGGGGCTGAGACCCAGCCCTCAGTCAAGAACTGATGGCATGCTGAAACTGGTTTGGCTCAGTGGTAGAGCGTTGGTCTGCGGACTGAGAGGTCCAGGGTTCGATTCCGGTCAAGGGCATGTACCTTGGTTGTGGGCACATCCCCAGCAGGACATGTGCAAGAGGCAGCTGGTCGATGTTCCTCTCTCATCAACGTTTCTAGCTCTCTATCTCTCTCCCTTCCTCTCTGTAAAAAATCAATAAAATATATTAAAAAAACAAACAAACAAAAAAAACTGATGGCAAAGGAGGAACTTGCCCATTGTAATTTTTATTCCCATCACTTCAAATGGTCTTTATTACTGGTTTCAAAATCAGAATGGGGTACAGTTCTGAAGACAGGTAAGTGAGGAAGATCCCTTGCGGTGATGCTCCCACCCGTGCCCCTCCCTATACTCACCTTTGCTCCTTCTCTCATCTTTGAAGCCCAGAGTGGTGAAGCTGAAGCCGGGGAGCAGCTTGCTGGAGAGGGAGCTCAGGTCCACCGGGTGGGTCTCCTCCTCTGTAAGACCAGACCTGTGAGCCGGCGGTTCGGAGCCCTGCCCACACAGTAGCTCCAGCCCTCTCTCCAACTCAAGCGGGTATGTGTGAGAAAGAGTGCCTGAGCCTCTCCATAAAGACCATCTAATATCAGATTTACTAAAGCCAACTACCATTCTCAAACCTTAACTGCACTCCAATTTCACTTTATGATTACTCCGAAGTCAACATAATGAAAACCTTCAGCTCGCAGACCATGATACCAACATCATAACATTTTCAAACTGAACACTCAGCACCTCTGAGAAATGCTGTATGTGTCCTAATAGCAACAGTGAGTCCCCACCTTCGTACACCCTCCAACTGCACATTCCTATGCTGAATTATCATTCACCCACTATTCACGTGACCTGCGCAGGGTCCTGCAAATCCCCAACCAGAACCTCCACCTCGTGTTCTCTTTCTAAGTTAACTGCTAATCAACTCATCTAGTCTCTTAGGAAGACCAATATGACTCATTCTGGCTAAAGAGCAAAGAAACTGATCAGAGCTTATACTTGGTGCAAGGCAAAGAAAAGTATTTCATTTTCTAGGTGTGTGTGCGAATTCAATTCAAGTGAATTTTGCTTTTATTCAAAGGACAAGCCTTTGAAATCTTTCTCAAGCAGATAGAAAAGTATAAAAATACTTTTTCAAGACTACAAAAATGATCATACAGGTAGGATGGAACCAACATTTATGCCTTCTTCCAGATCATCCTTGATATAATCATCAACTGGGGTTTTTCTTCTAAAACTTGTGTTTGAGCTGACAGTTATCTCTTTCAAGCCTGAGAATGAGGCAGAGTTGGGTTCTGGTCTCTGACAAAGTAGGTCTCAGTGAACCATCAGGAAGCCCAGCCCATGTCTGCTGCTCTGCGGGAGCACAATCCCAGTCCTGCTGGCTGTCCTAGTGTCGTTCAGTCAGAAAAGTCTGGACAACACCTCCGCCCCCACTGCAACCACCCTCAGTCCATTTACTACCCAAGGTGTTGTGGTGAGGGGGGTGTGTAGGCCCAGGGAACCAAAAGGACTTTTCATCTATATTTTACCACCAGTGTCACACACTCCAGGGAAAGTAGACATCACAGACAGGTTAAAAGGCTTTAAAAATCACTGAATAGGAATAGAGGTTAGAACAACATGAAGGCTCTCAGAAGAAAAAAGTCCTGAGAGGACCACCCACCATCGGCATCTGGCTCAGCCGTGTTGACCACGCTGTAGAGCAGGCTCCCATCTCCGCTCTTCTTCAGGTAGCCCATCTGCAAGGAAGCAGGCCTGAGTACACACTGCCCCAGAAGTGACAACCCTGAGCTTTTACAGTTGGGGTTTCTACAGAAGCTCCAACAAAATAAAGGCCTAGCAGCATGGCCTAGCTTGGACAACCCTGAAAGGCCATAATGGTCACTTGTTTCTCCATGAACAAAGACCAGGCCCCTCTCAGATCCTTCCCTGGAGTTTAAGACCCACTTGCAAATAAAGTGCTCACGAAATGCAATGAAAGAACTTAGAAAAGCTCCTTATGACACCTTCTAAAAAGGAGCTTTTGTAACGGAAAACTTTACCTAGTAACAACCTTTGTTGAGGTCAGAAGCCTCAACAAAACCATCAGAATAAGACACTGGTCAACAAATGTCATGTTATCAATGAATAGCCTAGAGGCTCCATCTCTAAAGCACATGGGAGCTATTTCCATTTAAAAACCAACCACCAAACAAGACCAACTTCTCCTCTGCAAGCCGCGAGGAGAATAAGGAAGCGAAGGCACCTGTGTGTCGTGTGTGTGAGGAAGAGGTAGAGAAGGGTAACCACTTGTCCAGGTGCTGGAGCCCAAATTTAGGGACCGAATGTCCGAATGGGAGCAGCAAGGCCCAAAGGGGAAACAGGGTTCAAGCAGGGTGAGTAGGGAATAAGGGATGTAAAATTGATTACTCTTGGTCAAATAAGTGTATTAAGGATAATACAAGTCAGGTTTCTCACTGTGAATTACAAAACCGAAAAGGAGAAAGATAAAGCAGGCCCAGTTATACTGGATGGCATCTGAAATTCACTATAAAAACATGGATTTTGGTGAATATAAACAAGACATCATTCTAGGTTCCTTCTAAATGCTGTTTGTAATGGCCTAGGTCTGGGTTTCTGAATACTGTTCTCCACTAAGGAACTAGGGATCCTTTGGGAAACGGCCAATTCCACAGCTCAAGTGCAACAGGGGTGCAGACTACCAACAGAACAACAGCATAAGCCACACAGGGAACCTCAAATTTTCTAGCAGGCATGTTAAAAATAAGTAAAAAGCCCAGCTGGTGTGGCTCAGTGACTGAACATCAATCTATGAATCAGGTGGTCACAGTTCAATTTCAGGTCTGGGCACATGCCCTGTTTGATTGCTTGCTATGATATGTGCTGACCACCAGGGGGTGGCGCAGAACGAAGGAAGGCCCCTGCCAGCAGCTGGCAGCAGCCAGGGACCCAACCTGTGCACAGATTTCGTGCACTGGGCCTCTAGTAGAATTTACATAATCCAATGTATCCAAAAAGTTATTTCAAAATTCTTTACAATCTGCATTTTACAGACTTAGTATGGAAAAAAAAAAAAGTGAAATCAGATCTTGAGTATATCAGGTCAAGTAAAATATATTAGAATTTCACCTGTGTCCTTGTTAACACAACTACTAGGAAGTTTAAATTCTGCATATGTGACTTGCACAATTTCTACTGAACATGTTGGCCTAGAATGTCTTCTTGTGTCAGAGAGAAGATGGTCACAGAATGGTACAACCTCCTCCTAAGGACCAGCAGCCCCTGGAGAGTCCTCCACTAGGCATACTGAGTCAGATCCATGAGTGACTGCAGGGCCACAAAGACGTGAGTACACAGGGTCAGACCCATGAATGACTGCAAGGACACAAAGATGTGAGTACACAGGGAAAAGAACTGACCTGCAGCAGGGAAGCTGGCAGGCCCAGCAGTGGTGTGATGGAGGGTAACATATGCCTGACCCAGGCGTTTGTTCCTGGAGGAGCCCTTTAGCCTCCATGAGATGGGGCCAGTGAGGACAAGGAGCTGACCCTGATTGTAGCATGTGCTCCTGAGCTTTACCCTACAGTGACAAAGGCACCCCCTGACAGCAACGGAACTTGGACTAGACACTTGTAACATTCTGATGTTAATGTCTTGATTCTGACGGCTGTGCCAATGTTCTGACAGAAAACACACCCACCCACTAGGGAGCACTACCTTGCCACCTGGAAGGAGTCGGTTGATCCTGTCCCGAGCCTCGTCTGCTGCATGCTCCACCAAAGCCAGCACATGTTCTTCTGCTGTGCTGTCAGTCAAGCTGCAAGCATTGCCTTCTGGCTCAAACATGCAGCTACAAGGCGGGAACACACACACACAAGTCATCAGGAGGCATACGCCTCATCCCTCTCCACTGTGGTCAGTCCCTACTGCCCCCCAGAGTCACACAAAGGGCCAGTAGGAGTGACACAAAGTGCACTTTGCTCCTTTTTCTTTTAGTTTTAACCACTTTTAAACAAAACCCTTCTGTCACTAAGATGAAAAGTATAAGCCAAGCATCTGTTATGTTTCAGTTGCTTTAAGAAAAATAGAAGAAACATAACAGCAGCCTCACTGGTTAAAGCACCATTCAAGACACCATTAGAAAAAGTGTCAAAAATCCTGTGGAGGGCTGAGGTGCTGGTGGTGAGTTGGGGCTGGGAACATAAGGCTGCTTGCTGGGCTGAAGAGCAACCCCCACTGCAAGACACAGGGACTCCCCAAGACTTTAGCAAGCCAGCCTCAGGTTCCAGTAGAGTTCTTGATTCAAAAAGCTGAGAGGTGCAGCACCAAAAGGAAATGGCCTTTGCTGTGAAAGATTCTAGAAGCAGGTGGGTGGGACCTTTTCAGGGAACCATAGGATCAAGCCCTGCCTAAGGATCCTGAGCTTATAGCAAGGCCCTTCCTCTGGACCAGCATTTACAGCTACAGGAGCTGTAAGAAATGCATGTTGTCTGTCCAACATGACACAATTTTGTTCCCTGAGCCTGGAATAGGCAAGCCCAGGTCACCAGCAAGTGTCCGCCATGTAAGGAGGCTTCAGGGAAGTAAAGAGCCAACAAATATTCATAAACAGGACACATGTGGGATCGGCAGTGACAGGAGACATACTGCAGGGCTGAACAGATGAGCTCAGTGTCACACCTGGGACAGAGCACATGTGCATGCAGCAGGGGTTGTCTCAGCCCTTTTGTCTTCTGTGTCCATCAGTGTGCACTGACTTTCCTCCAAGACAAGTTACTGTGCTCCTTGTATGGGTAACACAGCAAACTACCACTCCTCCCAGCACTAACTGTGGGGTCTCATGGTCTTCCAACACCTTCCAGTGACAATGGTGATATTCATTACCCACACACGATGGTCACCTAACTCTCAAGGTGGGCAGGAAGGGTGGTGCCTCCGAAAATTGACCTAAGCTTCTGAGAAGCTGTGCTTTGCCGACTAGGCTGCACTAGCAGCCTGTTCCTAAGTTACTCCAGATAAAGCGAAGACACAGGCCTGTGTCCCTAACCTGCTCTCCCAAGGAGCACCCGCCTTTCCAAGACGGGCGTCCTACTCCACAGGCGAGTGCACTTCTCTTTACCTGATGACTTCTCTACTTGGCCTTTTAGATTTCTTAGCAGTTTCTACTTGTACAGGTACAACTTCGGGAACTGGTTCCTCAACAGCTGTGTCTTCATTGCCCAGAAGAGCTGCCTGCTGAGAAAAATCCATGTCCTGCATAAACGACATGCTGCGCTTCAAAGCTAACAGCCGCTCCTAGAATCAGAAAGGACAGAGCAGCACGACTTTACCTCTCCCTCAAAGCCAAGGCGCCATGACGATGGGATGGGATGGGGATGGCCACAGCCTCACCTGGCCTAACAGCTAACTTTCCATGCAGTGCAGCGGGAGGTGGTCGTGGGGTCAGCACCAAAGGGTGCAGCGGATTAGCTGGTGAGCGCTCAGAGCCGGCAGAAGGGAACAGGCCAGAGGGCACAGGGCTGCACCTCACCCACAGGCTCATCAGGCACAAGGCACTGGTCCTAGACATGTGACACATGCAACATGGCTCACAGGACAGATCTGGGAAGCCATTCAGGATGGCCAGGATGTCCTGGTTGATTCAGTGAGGCAGCCATATAAAACAAACCCAAAGGCTAGCGGCAGTCCAGAGAGACAGACAACTAGACATGAGATCAACAGATCAGGAATTTTCCACCCACCCTAACAGAGACATTACAGCTAGGGCAGGAGCAGGAACAGAAGGAGGAGAGTGCCTGGAGGAGTAGGACATGGAGGGGGCAGCCTGGGGTGTCTACCCTAGAGCAGAGGGGTCCACGCGGTGGCCAGTGACGGAAAGATGGAAGCATGTCATTCACTGTGAGTTTCTGTTTAGGCATAAACAACGTAGAGAAGAGCTCTCGTTTCTGTGGCTCCTCGCTATTAGTGGCTTTCTTACTTTGCTCATCATCTTAAAGCCTGCGTGAAGGATCTTCTTAGCTAACTTGTAGTACACAGTGTCTGGTCTGTTGTATGTCATTGCATTATCACACATCAGTTTGAAATCTGCCTGAAAAAAAAAATCATCAAGTTTGAAACATCACCCAGACAAGAACAGAGTTTAGATTTCTATCAAAGGGGCAAAAATGAAGAGCCGGAAATTAAGTGAAAAACAATTTAATTTGGTTGTTTGATTAAAAAAATTAACTTTAAAACTCAGAGAAATTTTTCTAATTGTTCATTGATCTTTAAACAAAGCCTGTACTTTTTAAAAATTTCTTTATTGATTTCAGAGAGGAAGGGAGAAGGAGAGAGAGATAGAAACATAAAGGATGAGAGAGAATCATCGACCTGCTGCCTGCCGCACACTCCCCACTGGGGACTGAGCCCAAACCCAGGCATGTACCCTTGGCTGGAATCGAACCTAGGACCCCTCAGTCCACAGGCCGATGCTCTATCCACTGAGCCAACCTAGCCAGGGCAAAGCCTGTACTTTTTTGAGCATAATACAGTAAACCCTTGATTTTGTGGATCTCAATTTAACAGACAAAATTTCTGTTCCAAACGTCATATTTGAAAATTAACATCCTGTTAATTTAAATAAGCTTTTAACCAAGATTTACTTATAATTAAATAAACAAGGTGCTATTGTTTTAATTCACTGTTAATTTTAACCAATTTTAGCAAATAGGCCATATGTTGGAAAAAACACTGTAGTAATTTCGCCAATATAACATTACATATCTACAGTAACAGTTAAATTCAAGAGTCACCATTTGTAAACGTTCAGCAAATGATTAGTACGTGATCATACCGCATTGCTTATGGTAACTGGTTCTGTCGTCCGGTGGCATGACTTTCTGCAGCAGTTTTAAAGCCAGGCCATGATGCTGCAACTAGCGCTAAGGCTCACCCAGCCACGGGCATTTGTTTATTTGCAGTGACTGGTTAATGCACACACTTACTAGATCTATTCAGTATAAATTTAAAATTGTAATAATACATACAGTAAACTTTGCTGTGAAATTAAACTTTTCATACATACTTAATTTTACAGATTAACTAATTTGTTAATTTCTTAACATATGCACTTGGAAAACCTGCTTTATTATATAAAGGACTTTCGGCTTTAACAGATACCCCTTGCCTAAATTAGTCCGTTATATAAAGGCTTTATTGTACCCTTGCTTCATGAGAGAAGAGGATGACTCCCATCTCCAGCCCTTTCCTCCCTCTTGGGGAGGAACTCAGACATAAATAGGAGCAAGGACCAACAGCCAAGTTAAGTGAAAGTCCAGGGGTGAACTGAGAGGTGGACATAGTCATATATCCTATCTCTGTGGTTTTTTCACAGAATTTTAAAATTTTGTCTACAGATAGTTATTCTAGTGCTATTAGAAAAGGACTAAAATATGGACAGTCCTATTGAATAATTTGTATTATTTAAAACATCAGTATTTTAAGATCCTAACCAAATTATGTAGCACACAGCTATCACAGATGAATTAGACATCAGGATGGACAATGACCACTGAAGCCGCACACCAACAAAACACATGCTATCCAGGGATCTTACCAAGTCACTGTGCCAGCGTCCCCAGGGCTGGAATGGAGGCTATGAAGCCCCTGTCCAACACAGGCATCTGTGTCAGGTTCAGAACACTCTTGACTTATCTTTCTCTGACTGGCTTGTTTCACTTAGCTTAATGCTCTCTCCATATCCATAAGACAAGTACCATGTGATTTCACTCATATGTGAAATCTAACAAATAAAATTAACTAACAAAACAGAAACAGACTCACAGATAGAAAACTGACAGTTGTTAGAGGAGAGGAGGGTGTGGGGCTGGGTGAAAATGGTGGAGGAACTAAATAAACAATTCATAACACAGATAACAGCATGGTGATTACCAGAGGGAAAGGGGGTAGAATGAGGTAAAGGATAAAGGGTGGATAAATGGTGATGGAAGGAGACTTGACTTGATGTGGTGAACACAAAACATTATACAGATGACGTATTGTAGAATTGTACACCCAGAACATAAAATTTTATCAATCAATAAAAAACTATCACTTTCCTGAGGACAAGAGATGGGGTGAACATTGCTCCCACTGTGGCTTTGTCACTGGGTGAGAACAAATTAGGGGCCTCAGTCAGAAAAGGCAGAGGACTTTATGGCATGGATCACTGTTCCACCAGCCCTCTGGAGTGTTAGGGGACCCTCCTGTGAAAACTTTGATTTCTTCCTATTTTCCTTCTAGTCTGTCGTATTGTTTCTGCAGGTCAGCAAATCCTTTCAGTGACGTCTCCAGTAAACAGAGAAAAACCAAGCTTTTTCTGAAGTTGACAGACCTAAGAAAAAAGCCTAATGGCTGGTTTGGCTCACTGGATAAAGCAATGGCCTTCAGACTGAAGGGTTCCAGGTTCAATTCTGGTCAAGGGCATGTACCATGGTTGCAGACACATCCCTAGGAGGGGATGTACAGGAGGCAGCTGATCGATGCTTCTCTCTCATCAATGTTTCTAATTCTCTATCCCTCTTCCTTCCTCTCTGTAAGAAATAAAAAAAAAAAAAAAAAAAAAAAAAGCCTAATGGCTTTTTCTAAATAGCACTACTGCCAATGTGACCAAGCATTTGTTTTTATTCCCCTAACGCTTTCTATCTCTCACAGCTGATACTAAGAAAGCGAGTCAGAGCAAAGCACTCAAGGGATGTAAGAATTTATTATTTTATAAAACCCAGTTGTTACAAAACAAAACTAAGAATTAGGAAAATTGTATTTCAAAAAATAGCCATTCTGGAACTAGGCCAACTAAGACACATCCTTGCTTGACCTAAGGTGTCTCAATTATGCCAACCCAGGTACTTAAAAAAAAAAAAATGGAAATGCATTTCAAATAGAATGTAACATATGGGCCAGCTTCTAAGCCAGATATTTTCAAACACTATGCCGCAAGAATTTTTAAAACATGCAATACCTGACTAATTTAGTCAGGGGCACTGACCTCATTTTTTCTTTTCATTGCTTTTTTTTTTTTAGAGTGGAAGGAAGGGAAGGAAGGAGAAAGGTGGAGACAGAGAGGGAGAGACATCAATGTGAGAAAGACACATTGACTGACTGCCTTCCAACCCTGACTGGGGCTGGGAATCAAACCTGCAACCCGGGTACATGCCATTGACTGGGAATTGAATCGATGACCCTTCAGTGAAAGAGCCAATGCTCTAACCACTGAACTCACTGGCCAGGACAACTGACTTTTCCCTTAGATTGTCAAATAAATAAATAAATAAATAAATAAATAAATAAATAACAATGTAATAACTTCAACAATAAATAATTTTTAAAAAATGACAGCCCCCCACACAATAGCCGTCTTGTGTGAATGAATCAAAATTATAGCTATTTTTGGTCAAATCAGCAAAAAATATATTTTGGTGCATCACAGAATTTTAATAATTAGTTTATGCATGTCATGAAATGAAAAAGATTGAAAATCACTGTTCTAACCGGGACCGGTTTGGCTCAATGGATAGAGTGTCGGCTTGGGGACTGAAGGGCCCAAGGTTCAATTCCAGTCAAGGGCATGTACCTTGGTTGCAGGCATATCCCCAGTAGGGAGTGTGCAAGAGGCAGCTGATTGATGACACACTCTCATTGATGTTTCAAACTCTCTATCTCTCTCCCTTCCACTCTGTACAAAAATCAATAAAATATATATATTTTTTTTAAAAGAAGAAAAAAAAGAAAATCACTGTTCTAGACAAAATACAAAGAAAGTTACAACGAATCCATTTCCTCAATGCTATGTGAAACTTCAACCCAAACACAGAAACACCTGTGAAAACTTGCAACTGGAAATGACCTGAGATGAAGGAAGTATTTACTGGACATAAATTAATATAGAGCTTCCAAACAATTGTTTTAGGAACTGAAATTAATTTACCTTAAATTCCGTGACTGATTTGTATTCATTAGCCATGATTTTGTCTTTCATTGTGCCAAAATCCATTGGATGTTTTATTATCATTGAGTATCCAGGAGCAATTGCATCCGTGACAGGAAAAGCAAAAAATCCATGAGGATCTTTTCTGAAAACAAAAACATCTTTATTTAAACTGGAAACCCCTAAAACCTAAATTCCTGAATGATACAAAATCCTTCACAATAAAAATATTAATTTATCAAAGTTGTTTCTTACCAATAAAAAATAAAATTTGTGCTCTTTAAAATTTTTGAATACACTAAAAATTCCAAAACTAGCATCCCGGCTGCAGCTATGACACCTACATTATAGCATCTCTGACAGCCCCCCACATTGCCCACATGCTTGCCTGCCAGTCAGAATGGGCATTACCAATGAAAGGCAAGTGTCTACTTCGCATGTGATGGTGGTGAGGGCAAGAACACCTCAGCCATAGAGGACACCCAAATGTCCCCAAGCACAAGCTCTTAGAAACACTCTTTACCTCTGGAGCTGGCGGAGGAAATGTTCTAGTAGCTGCTGAATAGGCGTGCTCTCATTTTCAGCTGATGATTTAAAAAGTAGAAAAGATAAATTGAACAAAAAGATTTAGATATCACTTCACTGGAGAGCTCCAATTTCACAGTATGCACTTATTTGTTTCGAGTTCCACTGCATTTTAGTAAGAAGGTTCAAATAAGAACTGGTACAAAGATAAACCAGACCCAGCCTTGCTCCACCTCCCCCCAAACTCAGCTGGGTAGAAAGGATACCCACACATCAGTCCCCAAAACCGAGTGCCAATATCCCTTAAAACAACAACACATAGGTATCAGTCTTCAATCTATTTCTAGCACTTATCATCCAAGGGCCTGCTATATTCCAGACAAGGTATGAAGAGGAGAACAAAGATTTAGATATAGAAGTTGATCCGGGATTAACTACAGTGTTTCCCAGAAAATAAGACATCCTCCGAAAATAAGACCTAGCGCATGGAAAAATAAGACATCCCCTGAAAATAAGATCTAGCGCATCTTTAGGAGCAAAAATTCGGGGAAACAGGGTACTATCATTTCACTTGAGAGTCCTAAATGTCTGAATATGCCTGCTCTTCCTGTGTGAAATGGAGAGAGGAACACACACTACACGGGTTATTGCGAGCACTGCAGTTATTAGCTACATCTCCGGGCACACTTGTGAAAACATGGTTTTTGGCAAATGTAAACACAGATGTTGGTCTAATTTCCCTCTACAAGTTGCATGTATGTAAATGGCCTTTCTTAGCTCTGTCCTCTGAGGGCTACACCCAGGACCGAGACTTGGTTTCTAAATGCCATCCTCCATTGAAGCACAACAGGAGTGCAGACCAGCAAGTCCCCAACAGTGACCCTCTTCAGAATCACCAAGAAAGCATCATGTGATCATTAACTCTTCAGACATACTGGGGAGAGAGGGAGCACCAGTGTGTGACCTCAAGGAAGAAGTCAGATTAAGCTAACAATTACCAGTGACTGTATTAACTTTGTAGACACATTCATTTAATGAAATGTTGTTTGTACTTGACCTTCTCGTCTCCTCAACATGCTCAGCAGCCATGAGACCTACCTGTTCACCATGGCAATGACTTCCACAGTGGAGGGCACTGCTAGAAAACAGCACCTGCCATTACTGCGATACAATCCCTCCGACCTCCCCCAGCCAGAGAAGAAGTCCCGGAAGAACAAACTCCATGACCACCTGGGAGCCTCTGAGGGAAGTGACCACACATAGATCAGAGGGTTCTGGAAGCTCTCCTTTGGTGGAGCCAACACAGCTCCCAGGTTCTGAATAAACTGATTGTAAACTAGCCTTCTCCTATCTATGATGAGCAGCAGTTGGCCAAACCATATTCTAGAAGTTCAAAGATGGTGGCAAAAATTTCAGATCCTACACTAGCCAGTTTGGCTTGGTGGATAGAGCATTGGCCCCCAGACTGAAGGGTCCTGGGTTTGATTCTGGTCAAAGGCACATACCTCGGTTGCAGGCTCGATCCCTGACACTGGTCCGGGCTCGTTTGGGAGGCAACCAAACGACGTCTCTCTTTCTCACATCGATGTTTCTCTTTGTCTTTCCTCTCCCTTCCACTCTCTCTAAAAAAAAAAATCAACGGGAAAATATCCTCAGGTGAGGATTAACAACAATAAAGTCAACCCCTTCCTTTAACAATAACAACAATAAAAAGGAATCTCAGACCCAGCTATATTTCGTGAGACCTTGGAAGATTAAACACTGCTCCTTCCTTCTGTGCTTCTCCCCGAAAGCGGAAGGACACAGTACCAAGACAGACTTTGAAAATGCCAGCACTTGCCTGGCTGTGTCCGGCACGCTCGGACTGGCCGATCGGGAGGCGGCTCCACTTCTACCTTCTTTCCAGGATCAAAGTCATCTGCCTCTCCCTCTGTGTCGCAGTGTTCCTTCTCCCGTTTCCGCTTCTTCTCTTCCTGTGAGGCAAAGTCAAGGCCGTGAAAGCAATGCAAACAGTTTTAAACAAACTGTTTCTAAGGGGAAACACAAAGCTAAGAGAGAAACACCCTCTTCCAGAGACTCTTCTCACTCCAGACTCCCACCCTTGCAAAGACCCTCCCCAGGGGGTCAAGGGAGAGGTGATGCTCAAAGAACCAGAAATGAAGCAACTACCTTTGTGGTCTGTTTTGCTTCAAACAAATCACCCCCTTTCCTAAGCCCTGTAGCACTCATCCTGTATGCCCCACCACACCCTGGGGCTTGGGGGCCACTACCTTCCTTTACCTTTCGTTTCCTTCTTTCTTCATCGTCCAGATATTTCTCCTTCTCTGACTTCTTCTTCTTTTTCTTCTTCTTTTCCTTGTGCCTCTCTCGCTCGTGGTCTGACCTGTCATCGTAGTAACTGGAATCGTGGCCAGATCCAGAGAGTTCAGTCACTTCACTTCCTCCAACCTTGAGAACCAGCTTCAGAGGCTTCTCCAAGGGTTTGTCCGCATACTCTGTAGAGACAGAGAGGGGCCCTCACGGTGTATGCTTCGAGAAAACACATCCCAGGTATTACTTCCCCTTTCCTGCTCACATCTGTCCCGTTACACTGCATTATCCTCAGGGAGCCAGAGGGAGGGGGACGCAACAAGGCCAGGACCTGGGACCCCGCCGCGCGATCCCGCATCCCCAAGCCCCTGGCCCCTGCCCACCCCCTAGTCAGCTGACACGAACGAGCCGCTGCAGGATCGGGCGGGGAAAGGCGGGAGGACAGAGCAGTAAGAGCTCCTCCCGGAGACCCGGACACAAGTCAACTCACATGCTCGGCTTCTCGCCACGACTTGCGAGGTGAACCAGACTCCGGGCTCGAGCCCCCGCCCACCGCGAAGGCACCCGCGCCCGGAACCTTAGCACTTCCCCGGGACCCTCGCCCGCCCGTCCACCGCGCGAACGCCCGCCCGGCCCGGCGTCACAAAGCGCGCCGCCGCCTCACCCTCGTACGAGGAGCGCCACTCGGTCTTGTGCTTCTTGTGCTTCTTGCCCATGGCGGCGGCGGGGCAGGGGCGCGGGGCCGAGGGCAGCAGCAAGCGCGGCCAGAGCGTGGCCGCCGCCCCCGCGGCCCTGGCTCTGTGCCCGCCTCACCCCTGGAGGTCGTGGGGCCACGCCGGAAGTAGACCAGAGGCCGGAACTGGCCCCGCCCGCTCGCAGGCACGAGTGCTTCCGGGTCAGGGGAGGGCGCGCTGCGCGCGGCAGATTCGAAGTGCGGGCTGGGCTAGTCGGTCCCTTGGGCAGCTGTGGAGGAAGAGGTGGAAGTGGACTTGGTGGTGGCGCCGGGAGTCAGGCGGCGGCCACGATCGGGCCTGGTACCCGCTGCTCCTGGCAGCGGCGACGGCGCTATGGACCAGGCCGTGGGCGACCTGAAGCAGGCGCTGCCCTGCGTGCCCGAGACGCCGTCCGTCCATGTGGAGGTGCACCAGCGGAGAGGCAGGTAAGCCGGCCTGGCCAGACCCCGTGGGACCCGGGCAGGTCTGAGCCGATTCGGCCCCTGCGTGGCCTCCACGGACAACACTCGGCCCAGACTTCCACTGGAGCCCACTGCGCCGGACGCGGACCTGACCATCAGGCCCGGCCCTGAACGGGACCCACGCTGAGCCCAGCCGGGCGCAGCCCTGGGAAAGCTGGAAGCTAGGATGGGCCAGATACTCAGCTCTCAATTCTAGCGGAAATACAGATACTGTCATTGGAGCCAGCATTTCTCAGGCTCTTTTCCTACAAGGAGGCATATACCACATTGATCGCACACCTTGGTGTGATCTCAGAACCAGTCAGCGTGGCCGTCAGGTGGCAAGGTGGGCTGAGTGGAGCCTTGAATGCCAAGCCCTAAGTGTTCGGTTTTCTCAGTGTGAATGCCAGCCTTGGGCGCTTGTTAAAATGCAAACTCCTGAGCTGACCCCACAGTGATGGGCTTTCCTTCTTTCACTAACAATAGGGATAGCCAACATTTATTGAGTGCTTCCTATATGCTAGGCATTGTCCTCAACACTTTGAATTTATTGACAATCTCCAAACAAGTCCAGTGTACTGCCCCCTTTATCTGATGAAGAGATGAGGCACCAGGTGAGCTGCTCCCCAGGTCCCACAGCTGGCAGGCAAGGAGTGGCTCTGGTTTGATTCCCCCCCTCCCCCCCCCCCCTGCAGGCCCACTCCCTCCTGTACTCTGCACTACTGCACTTTCTTATGTATGCCCCAGTTTCTTTTTTTATTTTTAAGTGTTAAAATCTTGGTGTGTGTGTTTTTTAACTTAGAACTGACCTTTGTGTTTTATTTGTCCAGCACGGCAAAAAAAGAAGATATAAAGCTGAGTGTTAGAAAGCTACTTAACAGACATAATATTGTGTTTGGTGATTACACGTGGACTGAGTTTGATGATCCTTTTCTGACCAGAAATGTGCAGTCTGTGTCTATTGTTGACACAGAATTAAAGGTTAAAGACCCACAGGTAAGTTACTAATTCCCTGTGCCAAGAAACAGTTAACCATTAGCTAAATAGAAAGTTGTTGCCATGAATGTCTGCTTGCTGCTTTGATAGTTATGTCAGAAACTTTGCTTACCTGTTAGTTTGACGATCAAATAAGTACTGGTTCTCTGGCAGGTGCTGGGAATAGACGTGGCCCCACTGCCAACCTGCTGTCAGGACAGTCGGGAGAGATTGGAAACCAGGAATTAGAAGGCAGCACCAAGAAGTGGGCTGGGCTGATGAGGCTTTTGTGCCTTCTCTCTTAACCTTTCCGTCAACAAAATTTATGGAGTGCTCAGAATGTATTAGGACCATAGAACCTGCTGGGGCAACAGAGAAATGGGCTTGTCTTTTTGAATCTCTTCACTTAGTCCAGCATATGGACTGCCTCACCTGTTCAGGTGTGGGAGCTAAGAAGAACTTTGTATGACAGTGTGGATGCGTTGGGGCAGTTCTAGCATCAGAGTAAAAACAACCCAAAGTGTGTGCCTCACATTACTGATACCTGGATGGTTTCTGTCTTACAAAGAACCAATTTGGAAGAATTTGATAAGACACTAAAATAAAACTTACATGGTGGACCTCTTCATTCTTATACTAGAGGCCCACTGCACAGAATTTATGCAAGAGGCTCGGCCCTCACAGCTGCGGTGGCTGCCTCAGCCCTCGCAGACCTGGCTTCATCTGGAAGGTCGTTTGGCTGTCCGATTTTTGTGGCATTGTTGGAGTTTTATCCACACTGAGATTTTATGTCATTGTACTCGATTTTGGCCAGCTGAGGGGAACTGGAGAGCTTTCCAACACTGCTGTGGAGGGACAGGTAGCACAGTATAGCTGGAAGATATGGGTGCTAACCACTAAACATTTTGATGTTCTCATCTTTGCAGATTCACCTCAAGGAACTTATCTTAACATATAAGTATGTAATTTTGTAGAGATATATGAACAAATATTATTGTTAATAGCTAGCAATTAGAAATATTTTAACTATCTTTCCAATGTGTTCTTTATTTGTGCAATGTCATGCTTTATTTCTGTTTTTATAGTTGCTATATCTTTTCTCATGCTGTTAAGCATCTTTGCCATTATTAATCCGAACTCTTTCATATAAATTTCTTATCTATATTTCATTTATCTCTTCTGGGGAATTCTTTTGTTCTTTTATTTGGGGGTTGTTTCTTTGAATCCTTATTTTGGCTGCCTGTTTGGATTTGTGTCTAGGTACGATATGTAGATCTGCTATTCCTCTCAATCTCTAGTGCAGGACAGTGTCAAATGCTGTTTCTGACTAATTAGATCAGGCAAATACTCAAAGCCTTCGAAGACCATCTCTGCCTACCAACTGATAGATGCTGACTTGAATTGCCACAGGACAATCATCCTCAGGAGTGTCCAGAGTTGCTATTTTTTTTTTTTTTTCTCAATAAGATGGAGCAGTTGCCTCTGGCTGTTATTTTTAGACTCTTAAGTGATCTCAGGGAAAGGTGTTTTCCAATTGGGTGGACCAACTGTCTTCCCCCAGGCAAGGCTGCCTGAAAAGAAATGTCTGTGTAGGAAAGGTGTCCTCCACTCGTGAGGGAATGATTCAACACAGGAAACTAGGGGTTTCTGCCTTGTGAGCTCTAATCCCTGAGTCCCCAACCCTGGCTTCTGCTCACACAGCTCCAATCCACTCTGCCCTTCCTGCTGGAGCACATGGTGGGTGGCTCCACAGGGAATTTTGTGTGTTGGCCCTTTAAGAGGATGCTTGAATTCCCAGCTGTTACTCCCTAGCAGATAGTAATCCTGCTGCTTTTCACAGCTAGATGTTATGTGGGTGCCCTTCTCAGTTCTGGTGCTTGCTGCTGGGGGGGCCCAGCTTGGGGATTGGATCACAGAGTTGTCAGTGGCAACCCGCCACAGCTGAAATATCTCTCAGGAACTTCAGTTGCTGTCTGTGGTTGCCAGGCCAGCTCTTTTGCACCTCCACCTCAATAGTCTCTATGTGGTCTCCACTTGTGGTCTTCAGGTATCAGGGTTCTCTCCAACGAATTTTCCATTGATTATTCAGGAAGTTTTTCTGTATTTTAGTTGTAATTCCATTCTGTTTCTGGGAGCATGTCTGTGCAACATCTGCCTACTCTGCTGCCATTTTTAATCTTTTGAAAAAACGGGAAACATTTGGGTAATGTAAGATGAATACGAGGTAGATTGTAGAGAGCAGCAAGTTCTAGCTATGGCTCAAGGAGTGACTCCCACGATATGAACTGAGAACCCACCCTCTGAAGAAAGGGCTTCCTCTGTCATTGTCTGGATGCTGGGGAGTCAGGAAGGCCTCATGGGCACACTGGTTCCAAAACCATACCTCCTTAGCTATCAAAATATTTCAACTGTTTATTAGAGATTGGTTAAATGTCTGACATATTCACACCAAATATGCTATAACCATGAAAGAGAATGGTATTTCTATCTACTGATGTAAAATGTCTCCTAGCTCTAGTAACTGGGGAAAGTGTGATTAGGAAACTGTGATAGAATTAATTTTGAGTCAGATGTATGTGGATATATTTATTATAGGCTAACATTTAGGAGATTGATTGTAGGGGACATTTTTTAAAATGTTTTTATTGATTTCAGATAGAGGAAGGGAGAGGGAGAGCGGGATAGAAACATCAGTGATGAGAGAGAATCACTGATTGTCTGCCTCCTGCATGCCCCATACTGGGAATCGAACCTACAACCCAGGCATGTGTCCTGACCTGAAATCTAACCGTGGACGCTCAACCACTGAGCCATGCTGGGCAACTTTGACATTCTTCATTCTATAATTGCAATTTTTAACAAGTGTGTTACTTTTATAATTATAAAAACAATAAAGTTGTTTTTTCAAATAGATGTCATACACCAAAAGGGGAGGGAGGGATAAACACATTTAAAAGAGCTAATCCTGACTCTGAAGTAATAGACTTTTCTTCTATTAACATCACCTTCAATCTTTATATTTGGACTTTAAGTTTCAAATTGGATATTAGAATTGAAAAGTAAGTGATTTTTCCATTTGTGTAGACTTATTTGATTTTCTTTCTCATCACAGCCCATCGATTTGAGTGTATGCACTATTGCACTTCACATCTTCCACCTAAATGAAGATGGCCCCACCAGTGAAAATTTGGAAGAAGAGACAGAAAATATAATTGCAGCAAATCATTGGGTTCTGCCCGCAGGTAGGTGTGATAATAACAGTAGATAAAACATGCTGAGTCCACAAGGTCAGAGGATGGCATAATCTCAGATTTTCCAAGTCAGTTAACCAGAGAGGTTTTTGTTCATTTGTTTTGTAGGATTGTAAGGTATTTTATATCTTACAAAAGAGGAAAGTAGAGAGTTCCTTTGCACTGAATCCTCACAGCTGGTGTTCATTGAGAAAGGGACCATTCTCTTCCTTCCTGTCCACTTGGTCAGTCCTGCTGGACCACTCCTTCCTCCTACTGTCTCGATGCTAATTCGTGGACTTGCCAATGTGTTCTTATAGGCAGATCCTGGGGTTAACTTAGTCATCAAGTTTTATGCCTGATGTCCTAATTGCTGGACTAGACCCGCTGCTCTGCCTTGCCCAAGTGTTGACCTACAGGGAGAGTGGTGGATTAGAGTCTGTGGATTAGAGTCTGTCCACAAGAGATGGCTGTATGTAACAACATGACAAAAAGTAATTCTTACCCAGTTAATTACCTGTTAAAAGTCCTACATAGCTGACATTTATTTTACATATTTAATTTTAAGACAGTTTTTAAAAATTTAACTTCCCCTTAATCAGAATCTTAGCATGCCAGTGTGGAGCAGAGGAGAGCATCAGTGGCTCAGGGCAGATCTTGCTAGTAGGTGTAATGCTTGCTTCCTAAAGTTAAGTTTTTGTTTCATTTTGTCACAGCTGAATTCCATGGGCTGTGGGACAGCCTGGTGTATGATGTGGAAGTCAAATCTCATGTAAGTTTCACTTTTTTCCCCAAAAGGCCCCCTTGTTTGAAGTAGAGTCACTATTGTTTTGCTAGCAACTCAGAACTCTTTGACTGAAATAGGTTTTTGGGAGCCACTGCCTGCTAGCAGCTGATATCCTACATGTCCGTTCTCTGAGACTGCTCCCACATGGAGTTGGTCTCTGGGGCATCCCCGAGGGGGAAGTGGGAAGGTGCCAAATGTGAAGAACCACGGGGGCTGAAGGGAACACTGCAGACAGAGCAGGTTGGCAGAATGGAGCAAGTACCAGCACGTCTAAACCGCTTTTAAGGGAGGAGTCCTTCTGCACACTGTGGGGGATACTGGAAGTCTATCCTTGTCTCCCAGGCTGCTCTGGGCAGCCACAGTGAGAGGAGGGAGTCCTGACTGTTATATTGTAGTAAATGTGTTGAGTGCTTGCCTACTGCTATGTCAGCCCAGAGGAAGGAGCGTAGTCCTACTTGATAAGTCCCTTTTGTGTAATCTAGTCATTAAAATATTTGTTTATCCTTTATGCTTGTAATAGTAATAGCCAGCAGCTAGCCTCATCTGCTTTAAGTTACCTTCTAAAATGAAAGCTTGTGATGTATCCAGGAAGCGTCTGGTTGTGGCGTCTATGGAGGGCTGCCTTGCTCCTGTCCCTGCTGCCTGCGCAGGAGCACAGAGTGAGAGCCTGTGCCTGTTAGCCTCTTTATCTGCATGTTTCCTTTCTTCACTCAGCTCCTCGATTATGTGATGACAGCGTTACTGTTTTCAGACAGGAATGTTGACAGCAATCTCATCACCTGGAACCGGGTGGTGCTGCTTCACGGTAAGGCATGTGAGGTTACATGGACAGGGAAGGCTGTGATGTCAGGTTTTACTTGTACCTTTGTCCTTCTGGGAGGAGTTACAGCAGTTTCATTCTGGTGGAGCCAGAGTTGTCCTAGAATGTTCCTTCTCTGTGAAGCCGATGCAGCTGGCATTCTGGGCATTTGTTACTTGACCATTTGTCTGGCAGCCACCCAATTACTGCCTTGTGACTTTTTATATTGTTATTAAACATTTCAATTAACTCTTATTTCTCCCGACTGATCGTAAATTCCTTGGGAAATAAATTGCCTGGTATTTCTTTGTAGCATTCTTCGAGCTTTGCTTTGTGAGCAGTAAGCTGCAAAACCATACTTTACAGAAATTTTGTCTGGTTCTTCCCAGAGAAAGATAGGGGGTATTTTTCTTAGCTTAGGAGCACAGAGTAATCAGCCTCTTTATACCAGTTAAGATTGTATAGTTGTATACACCTTGTAAATAGCAGATATCTCAGCACATTATCCTGATACCAGTATCAGAGTAGGCAATCAATAAGTATTTCAATTCTTTCATTTAGAACTTGTTATATATTTTCTTTTTTGTTTGTTCTACATTGGTCACCTCAGAACTTCTGCAAGGCATGTTAGGTGACACACAGAGCAAGAGGCTGTACAATCAAGGTCCCTTGCCTTCATCCTCCGGTTTAGAACGGGGTGCGGGCCGGTGTAGAAATAGCCATTGTGAAAGACGGTGCTGCTGTGGGCTGCAGACACAGCAAGTTTCAGTGCCCAAGAGTCCTGATGATTAGCAAGAAAGGTGGGTTTGACTTTTGAAAGATGCCTTACTAAGTAAACTTCATAGATGACGTGGGGACAAGGCGAAGCCATAGACCAGGAAATGCAGTGCAAAGCCATAGACCAGGAAATGCAGTGCAACTCAGAGAGCTGAGCCAGTCCCTCGGCCCAGAAGCAGGGCTTATGTCAGGGGCAGTGGAAGCTAAGACGAGAAGTAGAAGTTAAATTCAAAGTAGGAAAAAAGACTTTTAAAGTGTACAGTATTGGTAATACTTTATGGCACTTTGCTAGCAGACTTCTTTGTGTGTTAATAAGCAGTGTTTGTAATAATATTCATAGTTTTGAGCTCTCCGCTTCTTATTTTGTATTCTGTGGAAAATACAACTACCGTGGTTTTAAGAAATTTGTCATAACACTAACTTAAACACGTATTTGCTTAAATTTTGTCCCAGGTCCTCCAGGAACTGGAAAAACATCCCTGTGTAGAGCGTTGGCCCAGAAATTGACCATTCGACTTTCAAGCAGGTAACTGGTGATTTGAGAGAGGAGAGTAGTGGGAATGAGATTCCCTGCTTTTCCTTTATAATAGCATAAGCTGTCTGTTTAATAACTTTACTTGAATAGTAGGTCCCTGTCTTTCATTGTAAAACATTTCCTCTGTACTAAACATAGTCTTGAGTTATGACTTCAATCTTTTTAAATTTATGGAGACTTGCTTAGTAACCAGCTCGTGTTCTGTCCTGTGGACCAGTTCCATGTGCACTTCAAAGAACATATTTCTGCTGTTGTTGGGTGGAATGCTTCATGAATGTCAGCTCAGGGTACTTGATGTCCCTGCTGATAGTCTAGTCTGATGTTCTATCACTTACTGGAAAGGAATGGCCAAGCTTCTAATGGTGAATTTGTCTGTTTCTCCTTGAGTTCTGTCTATTTTGGAATTTATGGTGTCATCACATTTGAAAAATAGTTGGCCATTATTTTCTCAACTAATTTTCCTAGTCTCCCCTCGGCCCCTTTTCTGGGAGCCCATTGATTTGCAACTTAGACTGTGATGTTATCCCAGAGGCCACTGGTATACCTTTTTGTTTTGTTTTTTTCAGGTTTTAAACTTTTTCTGTCTGTGTTTCACTTTGGATAGTTTCCTGCAGTATCTAATTTGCTTTTAATTCCATTCAGAGAAATTTTCATTTTGGATAGTGAGTATTTTTTTCTCTGAAGTGCCATTTGGTTCCTTTTATACTTTTTAATTATGTTCTGTTAAAATCCTTGATCAATTGTATAATAGTTATTTTAATGTTCTTGTGGACTAACTCCATAATCATCATTTCTGAGTCTTTCTATTGACTGATTTTTCTTCTGGTTACAGGTCACGTTTTTTGCCCTTGGCATGTCAGGTAATTTCTGTTGGAATGCAGACATTGCGATCTAAAGTGTCTGGGTTCTCCAAAGGCTGCTGGGTCTTGTTCTGATAGGCATTTCTGTTACTTGTGATTTGTTGTGATCCTTTTGAGGTTTGTTTTTAAACTTTATTAGGGGTCTAGGTGTTCTCCAGGAGGCCCCTCCGGGGGTCTCAGTTGAACACCTTGAATGAGTAACTAGTATTCTCTGCTTTGGCTGTTGGGAACTTGAACATAGCCAGTCTGTGTGAGCACCGGGAACCGTTTTAACTCACAGGTCTGGAGAGCCTCATGGATTTCTCTGCTCCTAGACATCCAAGTGTTCAGTAAAGACTTGAAGGAACATCAGGGTGATTTCTGATGCTTTATTTCTGAAAAGCTTCCTGCCCTCTGGACTTCAGACCTCTGTCTCCTCAATTCAGCATCGTGGTTGAGTTCTTCTTATGTCTTCTCCACACAGAGAGCCGGATGATTTAGTGCCAATTTATTTCCTTGTCTCAGGTCACAGTCCTCTGGTGCCTGTTGTCCAGTGCCCTTCATTGAAGTTGCTTCATTTATGCAGTCAAGTAGTCTAGTTGGTGAAGGCACGATATAAATCTGGTATCTGTTACTCCCATTTGGCTTTAGAAAAGGGAATTCTATGAGATTTACTTTTAAATATCTACTTTCTTTTCAAAATGTCTTGTATTTTTTCATAGGGAAATTGCTTTATTTCAACACTTTATTTTATGCGTAGCAACTTGGCCTTTGTCTTGACATATTAAAATGCATCTGTGTTTTAAAGATCTCTATGGGCAGTTTTCTAAAACACCACAGAGTGAAAATGTTGTTACAAGAAATAGGAGTTTTCCTAGCACAGTCATGCATGGTATGACTACTTTTTGGTCAACAACTGGCTGCATACATGATGATGGTCCCATAAGATTATCATGGAGCTGCAGAATTCCTATTGCCTAGTGACACTGAAGCCATGATAACATCAGAGCACAACACATTACTCATGTGTTTGTGCTGATGCTGGTGTAAACAAATCCACTGAGCTGCCAGTTGTATAAAAGTACAGCACATACAGTTATGTACAATACATATTATTTGAAAATGATAGTAAACAACTATGTTATTGGCTTAAGTATTTAGTGTGTATACTTTCTGTTGTTATACTTTTTATTTACAGTATACTCTTTCTACTTATAAAAAGAGTTTGCTATAAAACAGTGCAGGGGGTGTGTGTGTGTGTGTGTGTGTGTGTGTGTGTGTGTGTGGTGTTGTGCTGGATCATATACTTTGTGTTTACCAAGAGCCTCTGTAAAGCTCTCACAATGAGACAATCGCCTCACTATGCATTTCTCAAATGTGTCCCCTCATTAAATGACACTTGACTGTACAAAAATCTGATAATGTATAACTCTGTTTGATACTCAACCCAGTCTTTATTTTGTTACATTGTCTGTCTTCCCTCTCCTCTTTTGTGAACAGAATTAGTAAGTGATCTTTTCTTTTTTAAATGGAAAGTCTCTTTTTTAAATTTGAAAGTAATTCTTTTCCTTCTGTGGACTTTCAACATGAAAGACACTGGAGAGGACCTGGAAGTCAGCTCCTGTCCTGCCTCAGTATGGTTTCCTGTACGATTCTAGTCAGAACTATTAGTAAGTGTATCCAGACCTCTCAGCTGCCTCCTGAGTGGCTGCAGGATTACTGCTGATGCCATTTAGTATGTGTGTTATGATTCACTTTTTGCCATCTGAGTATCCACGGTGCTAGAATTTGTGCTGGAAAGTAAATTGTTACAGTTTTTAAGGTTTTGTGGAAGGAGGAAAAAATATTCAACGCCAGGTAAAACCTCTGATGCTTGTTTAGATTTGTTTGCTTATTAGTACCAGTAGTACTTTTAAAAAATAAATGTAAATTATAAGTAAATTAAAAATGAGAGGAATTCTACTGTTGTTTTAATTCAAATGAAGATATTCAGTTTGAAAAACTTAATTTGCTTCAACCAGAACTGTTGGTTGCATTCTTTTAGCTTTCTCATACTAGTTAGTATGCAGACTACTGGTACCTCAGTTCTTTGTCAGTAATTATAATAATGTGTTAATAATGCTCACCACACTGGGCAGCTGAGAGGTACTATATTTAATGAGCAAAAGTGCTGCCACTGGGGTTGCCAGAGGACTAATTTGTAAAATAATTGTCTTAACTCTTTTTTTTTTTTTTTTTAATCCTAGGTACCGGTATGGCCAACTAATTGAAATAAATAGCCACAGCCTCTTTTCTAAGTGGTTTTCAGAAGTAAGTTTTAGTTCTCTAGACTGTCAATCATTTAGTTGAAAAGATGGCCTATATATTAGGCAAACTTTCTGTGCATCTGACTTTGTGGCCAGAGGAAACTTTCAGAGCTAAGCAGTTACTTGGAAATAGTATGAGGCCTGAAAGCCTGGGTACAACAAATGACTATCAACATTGTCTGAGGAGGGAGGGCATCCTGAGTTCTCACGTGGACTGCACCCCTCTGCTGAGCATGCACTCGGAGTTCTGAGCCTCTTTCTGCCATCTGTGAACTGAGGGGCTTGGACAAGGTGACATTACGAGTATCCCTTGCTTCTGAAGTGTTCTGCCGCAGGCAGCCCTGTCAGTGGGCCCTTATGGTAGGTTGGAGTAGGAACAGGGAGGGTCCACAAGAAGTGTGCCTGGCTGGTTTGCATCTTGGCACCCATGATTCATCTCATTCCCAGTCATGGGGACAGTTGGGAAAGTAAGAAAACAGACAGTGAGCCATGTGGCCCCTGGACAGGAGTCTGTGGGCTCAAGTTTCTGTGTCCTGGCACATGAAGCAGGGAAAGGGAATTTGGCTTTACCTCTACCCCTGCAGACCTGGCTTCTCTGATTAGGGAGTTCTCCGAGGGCTGTTAGAAAATGGCAGTGGTGTCAAAACCAGTTTGGCTCAGTGGATAGAGCATCAGCCTGAAAGGTCCCGGGTTCGATTCCGGTCAAAGGCATGTACCTTGGTTGCGGGCACATCCCCAATAGGGGGTGTGCAAGAGGTAGCTGATCGATGATTCTTTCTCATCGATGTTTCTAACTCCTTATCCCTCTTCCTTCCTCTCTGTAAAAAAAATCAATAAAATATGTTTAAAAAAAAAAAAGAAAAGAAAATGGCAGTGGTACTTGGGGTCAGAATGATGCCGGGTGGGGACAGGTGTGCACCAGGCAGCATGATGAGTACAAGTCAACACTGACTATTTTGGTTCCAGAGTGGCAAGCTAGTAACTAAAATGTTCCAGAAGATCCAGGATCTGATTGATGACAAGGATGCTCTGGTGTTCGTCCTGATTGATGAGGTAGGCATGTTCATTAAACCTGTGGTGGAGGAAATTCAAAACTGAGCGCCTCTTACTGCTGCCAGGGCGCAGCCAGCCCCTCGCTCAGCCCAGCCTGCATTGGGCAGTCACTGTCTCATGCAGCCCTGTCCTCTTTGCCATCCCATATGTTAAGCTCCTGACACCCATTCATTTGTTCATTCACTCGCTCATTCACATGTTCCATGGCTGCCCTGTGGGGCCAGGTGCTGTAATTTTTTCCCCCATTGTTCTGTCCCCACAGGTAGAGAGCCTCACAGCTTCCCGCAATGCCTGCAGGGCAGGCACCGAGCCTTCAGATGCCATCCGTGTGGTCAACGCTGTCTTGACCCAAATCGATCAGATTAAAAGGTACTATAGTCATGTGCCACTTAATGATGGGGGTACATGCATTGTTAGGTGATTTTGTTGAATGAACATCAGAGAGGCACTTATACAAACGCAGATGGCATAGCCACTGCACACTTAAGCTATATGGTACAGCCTTTTGCTCCTCAGCTATAAGCCTGTACAGCAAGCATGTCAAACTCCCATTCCTGGCCTCGTTTGGCTCATTCTCTTCATCCTGTGAGGGCTGCACACCTGTTGCCAGAGTCTGGGTGAAGCTGATCTTCAGAGGAGAGCTTTCCAGAGGACAGAGAAGTGACCAGAGCAAAGGTCCCCAGAGAGTTGGATTGACACACTGTGTGTGGCCAGGAGCTCAAGAGTTGCGGGACCTCAGGAGGCCTTATCGGCTGGTATTGGGATAGGAAGGGATAGCTAGCTGAACGACAGTTAAGTGCCTAGAACCTTCAGGCAGATCCTGACAATTCCTGTGTGGGTAAGGTATAATCAAGTCACAGGCACGGTCTGACTGGTCCTCGTTCCTCTGCCTCCAGGCACTCCAACGTGGTAATACTAACCACCTCCAATATCACGGAGAGGATCGACGTGGCCTTCGTGGACAGGGCTGACATCAGGCAGTATATCGGGCCCCCCTCTGCCGCAGCCATCTTCAAAATCTACCTCTCCTGTTTGGAAGAACTGATGAAGGTGCTTTTTTTTTTTTTCTCTTAACATTAGACTTTTTATATATTTTTTAAATTCCTTGACATATCTTAAAATAGTTTGAATATAGAATGAGGTATTTTGACAAGGCATTAACCATTTCTTTAGATTGAAAAATCAGTTTGTTATATGTGGCAGGTTGCATTAATGGTCAAAATCATGGCCACTGACTCAGTATTTTTGCTCTTTTGGCATAAAATGATCATCGTGGTTGTTTGATTTACCTGCAGGCGATGAATGGGTAGGAAATGTATGGGCTGTGGTCAGCATTCCTGTCAAGTTCTGGTTCTGACGGCTTTTGCAAATGACCCGCTCTCTGAGCCTCATTTTCCTCCCCTGAAAGAAGAGTAGCAGAGGTCCTGATTGACAGAGAGGTCATCTGACAGGAGATCATCTCACAGGGAATCATCCTGACTAGACAGACTCTCACAGCCTGTCACCGGCTACGATGTTCTGGTGATAGCAGTGAGTGCAGCAATATTCAGTCTCTGATAATTCAGTCTAACAGAGACCTGACCTGTTCCTAGAGCTCTGGGTACTGGGAGGACATGCGCTGTAACCAAGCCAACCAACAAATGGGCATTTACCTGGTGATCATAGTAAGGCATCATTGTAATTACTGATGGGGTGGAATCATCACCCTCCTCTTGCAGCCACCTCCTAGCAACACAGATCTGGAGCCAACATCCTCCACAAAGATGACACAGCCTCTGTGGCAGGGACAGGAGAGCTGGGCTCAGGACAGCTCAGAGCTGGGTCAGCACTGACCTGGCATGCACATCCATCATACTTTTCTGGGATGTGGGAGAGGCAGAGGGGTCCCAGGAAGCTTTGATGTGAGACCCCAATTGGCCATCAGAAATGTTGTGCAGTGCAATGGTGGGGTCCTGCTGAAGATCGCCCTCAGTGTGGTGTCGTACTTACACTTGTGCTCTGAATCCAGGGATGTTCTCAGGTTCAGCCAGGTGCACGGACTTTTTCTGGGAGCTGAGCATGTGGGCAGGGGTGGCTTCTTACACAGATTACAGGAAGTTCAGGTATTCCAATGCTCTAGTGGAGATTTGGCTGGTCCTGAAGGCTGACGTGTGATTGTGCCCTCTCTGTCAAGACCCTGAGGTCTGCCATCCTCGCACAAGCCTGCAGGACGGTGCCTGTTAATGGAGGGGCCTCAAGGGCAGCTCTGGCGGCTGCAGGGAGCCTGAGGGAGTTAGTCACTTAGGCGGGGGTCCAAATATATCGAGCTCAAACCCTGCTCTTAATTTTACCTATGATCCTCATCAAACCTCCAAAATGTACGGAGGAAGCCTTTCCTTCATTCTTCCTCTCCTGGTTCCTGAATCGAAACAATTCATGTTGAAATTCATTCAGTGGTGGCAGTCTGACAGTCCAGTGTGGCTACTTGGCAAAGAACATCCAACATGCAGGCTTGTGGTCTACAAGGTGCTTTCTGACTCAGATCCTGGGTGTGTCAATTCACCAAATGAGAGTCTTATCTTAGAAACAACAAACACAGACCCTCCTTGAAAGGCAGGCGAAGTCTTGGCTCCAAAGCCCAGCTCTGTCGTCTGTGGGTTGTGTCATGTCTTTGAAACCAAATATCAGACTGAACTCCCACATTGACATGTGACGTGGTGAGGACACATTTTGGCCAAAAGCATAGAAAAGGCCAGGCCACTGCTGGTTTCAGAGACGTGTTTTGTTGTTTGTATTCTTGCCTTTGTTTGAAGAATCAGAGAGATGTGTGTTGGGGAGGAGTGATGTGCATGCACTTGTTAAATGGCCCGTTTGCATTTTATAAGATGTGATGTGCTTGCTCTCTCTGTGCTGTCCTGTTACTGACCGTATGCATTCTGCCCCTATCTTCCCAGTGTCAGATCATATACCCTCGCCAGCAGCTGCTGACCCTCCGAGAGCTGGAGATGATTGGCTTCATTGAAAACAACGTATCAAAGTTGAGCCTCCTTTTGAGTGAAATTTCAAGGTGCGAATGGACCTAATTTTTATAACCAAGAAAAGTCCATTTGCTGTAGTAATAGGGAGTCATAATTGACTGTAGCCGTCTGAGGTCAGGGTTTGGGAGTCAGAGGATAGAGTTGAACCCCAAGTCATCATACACAGGGAGCTTCGGAGCCCCCTTGTCCTGGGTTCCTGGTCCAGGACTGCTAGTGCTTTCAAGTTCTCAGACGGCTTTGGGGATCAAAAAAGGTAGAGAATGGGGCAGAGCCTCAAAGAACAATAAGAATTCAGATAAACTGGAGAGAAATCGGTGAGGCCCCAGGCACCGTGGGTGCAGGGACCTTAGGTGGGTTGCGCTGCCGAGGGCCAATTCTGGAGAACTTCTGAGTTCTAACCAGAGTTTGTACTTTATTCTGAGGTCGTAAGGCGTGTGGAAGGTTTTGAATGAAGGTATAACATAAAAAATAGTATTATTGTATATACATATAAATATATATAATACTTTTAGAGTGGGAGGAAGGAGATTGGGAAAGAAAGAGAAACATCAGTGTGATAAAGATAACATCGATTGGTTGCCAAAAGGCTGAGAAGCCAAGAGCCCTCCCTGACCAGGAATCAAACCGTGACCTCCATGTTCATGAGTCAACGCTCAACCACTGAGCCACACCAGCTGGGCTAAAGGGTATTTTTTAAAATTATTTGTTGAAGAAATTTAAATCAGTTGAGATAGGACAGAGGGGAGTAATTCAGAAATTTCTGCAAAAATTAATAAAAATATGAGATAATCCATGCCTCTGGGCAGGGGTTGGGTCCCTGAGCACAGCGGTGCCTGTAGGTGGCACATCTGTACCCTCCCCCACCAGGAGCAGTAGCTGAGGATTCCTCAAGGGGTTGGGGGAGAAGGAACATTCAGAGATGGGTAGGAAAACTAGTCCTAAAAGATAATTGTTCACTTAAAATCCCCAAACTTGGCTTACATTCACAGGAAGAGCGAGGGCCTCAGCGGCCGTGTCTTAAGAAAACTCCCTTTTCTGGCTCATGCACTGTACATTCAGGTAAGTCTTCCACAGCCACCCTCTACCACTGGGTACTTTTCTCTTTACCATCCACTCTGTCCAGCAGTGTGTGGCCTTGCTAGGAATCACATTTAAACCATTGGGATATCTGCCTTCTTTTACCTCAGTTTCTAATGGGACAGGCTCCTGGAGCCTAGGAGGTGCTAGCCTGGGTGCCTTAGTGGTGGGGCCCTGCCAAGCTCTTTGGGAAGAGGTGGCCGTGCTGTGTGTCTCTGCTTGTGCACATCCAGAGCTCACATTCAAGCCTCCGAGAGGTGCTCATGCCCCTCAGGCCTGAGCCAGCTCACTCAGAACAGCTGCCCGGAGTCATGGAAGGGGTGAGTGCAGCCAGTGGCCCTCAAAGGTGAGGGTCACTCCTCAATTCCTTCATCTCTATCCTTCCAGGCTCCCACCGTCACCATCGAGGGCTTCCTCCAGGCCCTGTCTCTGGCGGTGGACAAGCAGTTTGAAGAGAGAGAGAAGCTTTCCTCTTGTGATTGATTGAGCGGGGCTCCCCGCCTGTGGTTTTCAAATCATGAATGCGAACTGTGAGGTCACTTCCCCAGAAATGTGTCAACGTGGCATAGACCTGCAGGGCCAAGCACTGTTAAAAGAAAGTGCCATATTTATATATTTTAAAATGCATGTTAGAGGGCAGGTGGCATGCCATTTTTACTGTTTTAAAGGGAGATAGTTCAAGTTCTGTTATCTCTTTGTAAAGAACTGTCTAGATGTGTTTCATCCTGCCTGGGGTTGATTGGACACAAAATGTTTACAAATTTTGTTTAAAAATGATGACTAATATAGGTTAGGGAAACAAAAGAGAAATTACATTGCCGTCAATAAGAATCTGGTCATAGCATTAAAATTGTAAAAATCACTAAAGATAGAAGATGTCACTTGCTATCTGCAGTGAGCTTGTTTTACTTAGTGCAGACATTGCAAAGACTATTTAATGCATAAGGAAAAGGTATTCTTGTGTTACAGAAATCAAGAGAAAATTCTAGGTAAAGTATTCTTCACAGCAGTCAGATGTGGCCCTCCTGGTGGAAAGGCAGTCCTCGATGTTCCCCCACATGTATCAGGTGCTCTCAGCTGCGCAGACAAAGGTACAGCAGTGCCTCTCCCTGCATTCAGTTCCGTAGCGTTACCACAGTTCAAGTGAAAATTCACATTAACAGATGTGAAACAACTGGCCAATAATTGGTATATTGCACAGAATATTATGTTTTGCTTTTATCTCATGCTAAAATAAATTTTATATTAGTGTTTTGTATACATTTTTAAAAAAAATGTGTTACCTTTTGTTATATAACTTTTTAAGTATTAAAAGTTTTTCCCCCCAGAATTTTCTTGCTTTGTTTCTCTTACCACTCCCATCCTCTTTGAATATTATTTAAAAATTGCTCACACAATTACTTAACTTTTAGCGTGTTTTATGCTTTGGGGATAAAGGCAGAAGAGGCTGTGTCCGTTTTATGAGAACTGCACACACAGGTGTGGGAGGGTTTCAGGCTGCACGGTGGAGGAACCCCCAAGGCCGTGGCACACTCAGTGCCATCTGCCATCCTTGGCTTTAGCCAGAGCCAGATCCAGTGACTTCTGCCTTGGAGTCAGAGCCTGGTTCTGAGGTTTCCTGAAGACCCTATAATGGGGAAAGGTGGGTCTGGGCACCGGGAGCGAAGGGGATGGGATGCTCCACACCCTAGTATTGGGGCTGGAGAAGGCAGGGACCATGAAATAACTTCATTTCACAGGTTGCTGCTGAAATGCCCAATGTTCAGGTACCCAGGAAGAAGGAAGGGGTCTGGGAGGAAAAGGGAGAGCCTGGGGGATTATGGATAAAGAAATAGACAGCAGGGAGGCAGGCATGGGGAAGAGAGCTCAGAAAGACGGGGGTGGGCAGGGCCTTAGAGCCCAGACTCTGCCGGCATTGGAGGAGAGGTTGAGGGGAGCCGGGAGGGGGGTTGTTAACATTCACCAGAGCTAGACCCATTTCCCAGAAAGGGTTCTAGGGGGTCTGTGGGTGCAGCTGACACATCTGCCCATGGGCCACTAGAGGGCAACACCACTCTTTGGGATGGGATGGAGGGAGTTCTGGGCTCATTGGGCCCAAGGATGGAAAGATGGTCAGCAGAGGTGGCCAGCCCGGCCATGTGACTGTTCAGGCCCAGAAGTCCCTCTATCCTCCCTACAAGCCATGTGTGTTCATGAGCTTGCATGTGTGTGTCTGCAGGGGAGGGATTGGGGCAGGGCATGGGAACTTGCCTCCTCAGGACCTAGCTCACCAGACCTGTGCAGAGAGAAGAGACATAGGCCATCTCCACTCCCACCCATCCTTCCAGAGGAGGCCTCTGCTTGAGATGGGAGGACCAAGGTATGAAGAGGGGGGGGTCATCCCTGATCGTTTACTTCCCCCACCTCTCTCCAGTAGATGTGGCCTGTGGGAGTCAGGAGTGGGATACAAAGAGCTAAGGCAGATGACCATCCCCCTCCCACCCCCAGGAGGAAAACAGCCCCACACTGCCACCTGCCACCCCCTGTGCTCTGAGCAAGAACAGGGATCGCTGAGTTCAGACGTCACACACCTGCACTCGGGGTCGAAGCTGCTCATCTGTGGTGGACAGGACACAATGCAGTAAACAACACCCAGGACTGAAGGTGACGTGCCCCTGCCATGAGGCCAGTGAGGCTCAGCTTCCAAATCAGAGGCATCACTCAAGGCCTCACTCTCTGTCCCAGGAAGGAAGCAATGGCTATCGTGGGTGCACTGGCTGTGACTCCTATCACCTTGTTGAGGCTCCTGGAAAACTCGGCTGAATTATCCTTTATAACTAGAAATGTTGTTTCTGTCACCTGAGTTATCATTTGTTACAGGAGACTCACTTCCTCTATCACCTGAGTTCTCATTTATGACTGACAGCATCTAAAACCTGGGTTATTTATGACTAGTAACTTTCTTCCTCCAAAATTTGAGCTATCACATGACTGGAGTATAATCACCTGAATTATCATTTATGACTGGAAATGTTGCTTCTCTTTCACCTGAGATGACTTTCTTGCTCTATAACCTAAGTAAAACAAGGACTGGAAACATTTTGTTTTCTGTCACCTGAATTCTCATTTAGGATTGGAAATATTTTACTTTCACCTGAGTTATCGTTTATGACTGAATACATTCTTGCTTTATCACCAGTTATCTTATGACTGAAAAATTCTTCCCCTAAAACCTGAGTTGTTATTATGACTGAAAACTTTCCTCCTATATAACACGAGTTACTACTTATAATTGAAAATATTTTGTTCTATTACCTGAATTATTATTTATGACCTCAAGTTTTGTTTTTCAAGTACCTCAGTCTTTTTCTCTATAACCTGAATTATATTTACAACGGAAAACCTTCTTCCTCCAAAGCTTTAGTTATCATATTATTGAAAACGTTTTGTGTCACCTGAATTATCATTTGTGACTGGAAATGTTGTATCTCTATCACCTGATGTCTTATGACTTGAGACAATTTTTCTCAATCAGCTGAGTTATTATTATGACTGAAAACATTTTATTCTCTATCACCTGAGTTACAAATTTGACTGGAAACCTTTTCCCTCTAATCTGATTTACCATTTATTACTGAAAACATTTTGTTCTCTATTACCTGAGGTAACATTTATGACTGGAAATATTTTTTCTTCTACTACCTGAGTTTTTATTTATGAATAGAGGTCCAGTGCACGAATTCTGGGTGACCGGCAGGGATTGGGCCGAAACTACAGTCCAATGCTGCCTGCAGCTCCTACCTGCCTCTCCCGCTCATCCAGGCCCCTCTGTGCCTGCTGTGGGCCCATACCCAATCAGTCCCCATCAAGAGAGGCTCACACTGCACAGCAGTGTTCACCAGCCATGAGCCCTGCCCTTGGCACCTTCCCAAGGGGAGTGGCCTGCTGGATCGGTCTGAAACCGCCCTCCAACATCTCCCGAGGGGGCCCGGATTGTGAGAGAGCATAGGCCAGACTGAGGGACTCCAATGGTGCACAATTGGGCCAGGGAAGGACCATGGAAGGACTCCAGGGTGTCTGGCCTGTCTTGCTCAGTCCTGATCAGCCAGTCCGAGCATCTGCCCCCTGGTGGTCAGTGCACATCATAGTGAGTGGCTTAAAAGCCTTTGCATATCATTAGCATATTATGCTTTGGTTGCTTAATTGTTCTGCTGTTCAGAATGTTTGCATATTACCCTTTTATTATATAGGATGGGAAACCGTCTCCCTCTAATTTCATGCCTTACTTTCACTCTCTAATTTATGACTTAATATTGTTCTTTATAACCTGAGTTATCATTTATGACTGGAAACATTTTCCCTATATCATCTGAGTTGTCATTTATCACAAAAAATATTTTCTATAACCCGAGTTACCAGGAAAAAATCTTGTTCAATCATCAGAGTTAGCATGACTAAAAACATTTTGTTCTCTGTCATCTTAAATAACATTTATGACTAAAACTGTTTCTCTGTTACCTAAGTTATCATTTATGATTGAAAACATTATGACCTTTCTCCAGAGTTATCATTTATGACGGGGAATCTTTTTACTCTATAACCTGACTTACCATTTATTACTGAAAACCTTTTTCCACTACAACCTGAGTTACCATTTATGACTGAAAACTTTTTTGTCTTCTCTCTGGCCGGGTGTTGCAGTTGGTTGGAGCACTGTCCCATACACCAAAAGGTTATGGGTTCGATTCCCAGTCAGGGCACATAAACAAGTTATCGGTTCGATCCTCGGGTGGAGTGAGTATGGGAAGCAACTGATCCATCTTTTTCTTTCCCTCTCTCTCTAAAAATCATGTTAAAAAAAAACAACCTTTTTGTCCTCTATCATCTGATGGCTAAAAACTTTCTTCCCTATATCCTGAGTTATTATTTATTACTGAAAAAATTCTCCCTCTAATGCAGTGGTTCTCAACCTTTCTAATACCTCGGCCCTTAATACAGTTCCTCATGTGGTGACCCCCAACCATAAAATTATTTTTGTTGCTACTTTATAACTGTAATTTTGGTACTGGTAATGAATCGTAATGTAAATATCTGTGTTTTCTGATGGTCTTAGGCGACTCTGCTAACGGTTCGCAACTCACAAGATGAGAACCACTGCTGTAGAGCCTGTATTAAAGGGTTGTGGCATTAGAAAGGTTGAGAACCACTGCTCTAATGTAAGTTGTCACGTAGAACTGAAAACCTATCTCTAAAACCTGAGTTGTCATTGATGACTAGAACCTTCCTCCTCTATAACTGAGTTTTTATTTATGACTAAAAATACTTGGTACTCTCCAATTGATGTGTCATTAATTACTGACATTTTTTTCTACATCACCTCACTTATTATTTATGACTGAAAACTTTATTCATCTATTCCCTGAGTTACTATTTATGATGAAAACATTTTGACCTCTATCATCTGAATAATAGTTTATACCTGGAATGGTTCTTTTTCTCTCACC